ATACTTTGTAATTATAGTTCTAATTCTATTTATATATAATTTTAAGTATAAAGACTAGTAATTAATTAGCTTTAGTATTATTTAAACTTATATAGACGGAAACTCCTTTATACATACTTTATATAAAGATCTTAGATAGTAAGGTTTACTAAGAATTTATACCTCCTATTTAGGTAGTTAGCTGCGTTATTTGTATTTTGCTATTTTAGATTAATAAATCTCTTTATAGGTATTCCTTATAGTACTAGGAAGGTTATAGAGCTACTTAAGAAAGTTCTATATATCTCTTCTTACGTACTACGTTTTACTATCTATATGTCTTTACCTAAGGTTATAAGGCCTTACCTACTCTTTAAGGATACTCTTCTTCTATAGTGCCTATTCTTATACTCTAGGATTTGTAACTAAAATAATATTAATTAGCCCCCTTATATATCTATACTTATTAACTAAGATGTTATCTCTCTTGTATCCTCTACTTTGCTGTTTATAAATAGTTATTGTATTTACTATAGTAAGGAACTTATCCTATTTAATTATTTAAGCATAATTAGTTCTACTAGATAAACCTTGTTATATAATAAAAAAATATATAAGAAGCCTATATAAACGTCTATAGTATATTGTAGAGTTATTTATTTTAAGATATTTTAGCTTATTTTTATATTCTTTACTTACATAGGTGTCCTATACACTAATTAGGTAATACCCTATAGACAAAAACTCTAATTAGTCTCTTACTATATAGATAAAAACTCTAATTAGCTGTATTAGAAAACGCTAAGCTAGAGCACTATAACGCTAATATACACTTTAATACCTACTATTAAAGTCTAATAAGTATATAATCTAATAGAGCTTAGTCTTATAAATATTGTAATATAAAATTTAAATATAAATATTATATTTAGGAGATTTAAACCTATAAAAACAAGAACTACAGAACTAGTTATTTTAACTATATTAAGTAATAAAGTATATATAACCCTATACCTTTTCTATATATACTTTAGCTAAAAGGTCTAAGTAGTGTATATAAAAAACCTTAGTATAGTAACTAGTATCCTTATAGTTTTTAAGGCACTAAGCTTTTATTAAAGTAACTATCTTAATTATATTAAGAGTAGAGTAGGTTAGGTAGTTATTAAAAGAGTTCTACTAAAATAGTTAGCTAATATTTAATACCTACTAAGCCTATTAGACCTAAATCCTACTAATTAGTACTAATTAGAGCTAATTAATACTCTCTACCTTTCTACTAAAAATATACCTAGAGCTTAGAAACTTCTAAAAATTAGAAGTAAGAAGAAGGTAGAGTATAAAGGACTAAAAGAGAGCCTTTATTATATACTTAGGTAGGGCCCTTAGAGCTTAGGCTACCTTCTAGGTAGGTAAATAGTAAAAGAAGTAAAAATAAGTACTTATTTCTTTTACTTTAAACTAAGATTTTAGTTTTAAGATACTCTAGAAGTATCTTAATTAGGCTAAATTAGCTTAATCTAGTAATTTACCTAAATAGTTACTCTAATACGCCTATAATACGCTTAATATTACTAAATATAGGTAATAGAAGATATAGTCTACTAGATTAAAACAATTATATCTAAGAAGAGAAATATTATTAGGTAAGTATAGAGTAATAGGCAGTTTATATACTATTATACTAGCTCTAGCCTCTTAGCTTATATATATAGATAAAAGTACCTTATAAAGAGATATAGGTCTTTTAGTAATTTATCTTATTATATATTTAAATACTATTATTCTATCTTTGCTATACTATATTACTACTGTAACTAAGTCTTATAGAAATATTCTTTAGATATTATAAGTTAAGAAAAAAGAGTTAATCTTATTAACTATATATTTAAGTATTTAGAAAGTAAGTCTACTAAGTACTAAGTAGTACTAAAAAGAAATAAAGGTTTTTAAATATTTATTATATAATATCTACTAGATGTATTAAAGTAAATCTACTAGTAAATTAATTAATAATAACTAGTTAAGGTAGTTACTACTATATATAATACTTTATATAGTATTACTACTAAAAGTAGAAAAGAGGCTATAAACTAAAGAAATACTAATAATAATAGTATATATAGTACTAAGTAGGCTAAGAAGAGCTATAATACTAATTTATATAAAAAAACTAAGAAGTTAATAAAATAATTAAATACTACTTTTATATAAATAGTAGTTAGCAGCTAAAAGGTTACTATAGCTAATAGAAATATTACCTTATTAAGTAATAAATAGATTTAATACTAAAATTTCTTTAAGAAATTTATTAGTACTAGTATAACTATAGTTACTAGTATAATTACTAAAGCTATTAGAGTTAGTATAGTTAAATTAATTAGAAACTAAGTTATAGTTCTTTTTATATAGTAGTTATAGTTTAATAAAAGTTAGCTATTATTTATTAAAGGTAATAGCTAAAGATCTTTTGTTTTTACTACTAGATCTAATCTAGAGAATAAGCTAAACTATATAATTAAATAGTAAAATACCTAAATAGCTTTAACCTAGACTTTATTAAATTTAAATAATAGTAGTAGACTTTTAATACTAGATATAGTTAATTTTAAAAACTTATTTTTTACTATATAGTTTAATAAAGCAGTTACTCTTATTAGTAAAATATAGTATTAATAGATTATATCCTCTCTTTTTATAAAATACAAGAAACTTAAAAAGTTAATATAAAGTAAAGCTAAGTACTTTAAAAGAAGTTAAAGTTTTATAATATTAGCTAAAAAGTAATTATTCTTAGCTATCTATAAAGAGTAACTTACTAACCTAATATTTAGGTAGCTTATAACTACTATATTAAAATAAGATTTTCTAAAGAAATAGATATTATATAGTAGGTACCTTTAATATAAGAAGAGATAGAATATACTATATAACTACTTTAGTATAGAAATCTTTATATTATTACTTTAAGTAATAATTTTAAATACCTACTTTAAGTATTCTATTATATAAATAAAACTAGTCTAGTGAATAGAGCTATTAGCTAAGTATAATAAAGAGGCTATAGGTTTTACTTATACTATTACTTTAATATATATCTTTTATATAAATAAATAAGCTTATTTAGAATAGATATAGTAGAAAGATACTAATAATAAGAAGTTAGTAAATATTTATATAGCTAACTTATTTAGAAATTATTCTAGTTAAATAAAGAAGGTTTATTAGGTCTAAGATACTAAAGATAATAAGTTTAAATTAGGTATTAAGTAGTAAATAGTAGTATAGTGATAGTTTTTATTATATACTTCTAGTTTTTAACTACTATATAGTTTTATTATTAAAGTAGCCTACTTTTCTAGAGCTATTTTAAATCTATCTAACTATTCTAAAAGTTATTAAATACTTTATAGTTATTTAGGTTAGTATAGAAGGTATATATTAAGTCTAGGTAATTTTTATATCTAGTTACTTTTTAAATCTATATATTAGGTCTATATAATTTTTAAGTTTTATTACTTTTTATATCTAGTAAATTTTTAAGTCTATATATTAGGTCTATATAATTCTTAAGTCTAGTTAATTTTTATATCTAGTTAATTTTTAAGTCTATATATTAGGTCTATATAATTTTTAATATTAAGTTAATTTTTACATCTAGTTAATTTTTAAGTTAGTATATTATGTATAGGTAGTTTTAACGTCTAGATATTATATCTACCTAATTTTTAGGTTTAGATTTTAGGTACTAGCTTAGCGTATATATACCTATTTTTACGTACTTTTAGGTTAATAATTAACAGCCTAATATTTCTAGTGTCTAAGTGCTTATATTAGCTGCATCTTTTTAAGCTGTAGTTACAAAAGATTAAAGATAATATAGATATTAACGACAACACAATGCGAAGCAACTATAAGGGGTTTTTCAAAGACTAGAATCTAGTCTTGAACGTTAAGTTCGAAGGTTCCCAGGTCTACCGATATGCAGACCCAACTGACGGAAAGTTTGACTATCCAGTCCAGCGGCGACGCAACGAGCAGGATAACGTAATCTTGCGTAAGGCTGAAGCAAATCTCGATGCATTCTGGAGAGCAGTCGATCAGTATTACAAATCAAAGGCTATTGGGAAGTCACAGCATGATCTGGTAGCTCAATTGCTTTGTAGTAATCGAGCAATTCAGAGAACCCCTGAATGGGTCAAGCCGGAAAAGACCAAAGCGTCCCTCGAAAGCGTTCAGTATGTGTATCAGTCCTTCTCAACAGTGTTTCATAACGCCACAAAACAAGTCACCGGGCCATTTGACCGCGCATCTCTTTCGGACAAGGCGCCAAAGGCAAAGACGCATGGTAGCGCAACTCCGAATATGGAAACGCAACCTGGCATCCCTCATGATTCCAACAAAGTGGCAATGTTTTTGAACGTCGACAAGCGCGCCTATAAGGGTTTTCAAACATTGTTTTACTCGCCCAACAACCCAGACACACCTGGAGAAATCCCTTGGGCTGACTTCCTCCACTCAATGGTGCTTGTCGGCTTCTCCGCTGAGAATCTACACGGTTCAGCATGGAACTTCGCTCCGCAGACGGGCAATGTTGGTCTCAAAAGAAGCATACAATTTCACGAGCCTTACCCTAGCAATAAAATTCCGTTTTTGTGGGCTCGAAGGTACGGAAGGCGCTTAGGAAGAGCATATAGGTGGGACGCGAATATGTTTCGACTGACTTGAAAGAACCTTGATCACAAAGAGAGGCGAGATGTTAAGCACTCTACGTAGAATGAGATTGGACACCATCTAATGGAGAGACCTGATCTATAGATCAAGATGCATTATTGATATGTTCTCGAATCTTTCTCGACAATGCGTCGTGAATATACTGGAAAGAGTAGGGACACCATTGCCATTGGACTATATGTTTTCCAGTTATTTTGCTAATAGCAGTGAAAACAGTCTTGGCTACTTTCGTTAAATTTACTCATACTCGGTCGAGTAACTGGATTCGATATCCCATCTTATATGCTCTATGTTCTGTCTACCACTACACTTTTCTTTGGAAAGACCTTGCTACTCAGGTCAAGGATTGGCAGGGGGCAAGGTATTCCAACTGCCTCGCAGGCGGTGAGGATGGCGAGATACCAGCCACAGACTAGACCGATAAACCCGAAGCCTCCTGCAATGTGCAGCAGCTTGGTGATGTGCTCTACGTCGGCTTCGGTCGTGGCATGTCCGACTCGGAAGTCAGCGGCAGCGATGAAGGAGAACAACATAATAAGGCCAAAGAAGGTCAAGGTAAAGAAGACGTTTACACGGAACGTTCCCATAAAGAAGACAAAGCTGGCAATAGCCCTGTAACATAGTTAATTGGCTGTATGAGAGAAATGTCACAATCAGAGTGCCTACATGGTGACGTTGTGGAAGCCTTGAGACGAGTTGTATGCTGCGCCATTAGCGCCTCCGAGCTCGGCAAAAGGGGTTGTGGTCTGATGAATAGGATCCTGTGTGTAAGCAAGACTTCCCCAGTGGCTGCCGTAGATAAGGAAGACCGCCATGGGAAAAGCTGGCAGTGTAGTGTTAGTGTTATACTGTGGTCCGAGTTCTAATCATCAAGTACGTACTATTTCCCAAAATGAACTCCGCGATACCAGCGAGGTTCATGGCAATGCATCCAAAAAAGTAGTAGTCGCCACTCAGTCCAATCAAACTTTGTGGGGCCACAGCACCCTGAAAGCCACAGAGAATGAGGATGGTGGAGGTGTATGGTATCAGAAACCCAATGAGTCCAAGCAAAGTTGGATTGGCTGGAGAGTAGGTCAGTACAATTATCTATTACTATCTGAAAGTACATACCAAAACGTTTGGCGAGGTCACCACGGCTGGGTGCCGATGGCTGGAAGAACAAACGCTCATACTGCTCCGAACTCAACTGAACCGTAACTTGTCGGCTGAGTTCAGCGCCATTGCCAACGGCATTAAAATTGCCTTCTTCGCGAAAGTCATGATTGATCTTGTGAGCCTCAGACATGGTAAAGTTGTGCTACTGAACAGGACAATCTTGACAGGCAGGGGACAAGTGAATAGGGATGATGTCCAACGAGTTGGAAGCGACAGAACGGCGATACCCAGAAAGACGGGAACATCTAGACTTTATTGCTGCAACGATTAAGTGGAAGAGCATACGCGACAAACGCCATTCTCGTATCATGGCGTCGTCATCTACAGCGTCAGCCGAGGCAAAAGGATCGCATTCCCAGTCAGTATCCCCAGTTCTCCAGGCTCTCCGCATAGTTTCTCCACAACTCTCTACCGTGTGTGGGGAGAGTGGATCAAGCAGATCCTTGCCGGGAGGGGTCTTGTGTGGAGATGGTTGGAGCGGCTGTTGTGGCGGCAGATGAACAAGCTTTGTCAAGCATTGGTAGCGCACGCTCCGCGGCTCGACCGGTCCAAAGGGTAATTTGACGTTTCAGATCAGGTATCGTGAGTTGTCCGTTTGGCGTACGTAACCCAGATCCCATCGTTACCTGGTGCGGCTTAGAATATCGTCTTGCTTAAGCAGGCAATAATAACCTTTACCTGGGTAGTTACCGGAGCATACAGTCATTATGTTATTGAGGTCTTGTACTCAAAGAGCCTGTTCTTTTCGTATATCGCGCTCATTGTTACGCGGGTCGCTTGCAAGGTTCGCAGCAAGGATTCGAGGATGACGTTGTGCACGCAGCAGTCTCGGCCCTGGGGCCAAGTTCATGCCGATGCGCATCAACAACAAGAAGACCCACAGATTCTCTTCGTGCAAGAAGACGACACACTTTGACTGCTGTTAAACCTTTTCACTTCCGCGGCACTTCTATGGTCCCCATCTATTTGACTAAACTCGCCGTATTCCATGAGAAGAGTCATCCTACACAGAAATGTTGCATCCAAGTTTCGGTTCGTAAGCTGTCATCGAAGTTGAATATCTTTCCTCCAAAGTTCAACACAGTGAGAATACTTCTTCCTGTCCTCGTAGAAAGCCATGCATTTCTTCTCCAATATCTGTACGACTCGAAACGAGACTCAGTTGCAACAGGGGTGCGCTTCAGTAAGCGAGGGAGCAACAGCAGGGATAGCGGTAGCCGAGGATGAAGACAAGTTAATGACATCGGAGGGAGTGGCAGACACAGTAGACGAAACATCGACAGAGGGCGAGGACACATCTGCGGCACAAGCAAGGTTGCGACGACTATTTACTCCAGTCGTAACCAACGGATTTTCTCTCGTTGACAACGTTCTTCATGTGGCAAAAACCCTAGTCACAGGTTACAATAATGCACTCAGTGTCGCCGTCGCAGTAACCCATGTACTCTCCGAAGGTACTTAATCCTGATGGAGTTCCAATATCAGCGCCCCAATCGTCAATGCCGCACCCGAGAGTGAAAGCACTCTCAATTTCAACATTATGATACTTGACATTGCAATTCCCAGTGCCATTATTGGCGATTGCCTCGTTGAACTCAGGGATAAGAGTGCTTGTGGCAGAAGCGATGGCGGACGCAGAGTCGCTGGCAGAGGCAGTGGCACTGGGGAAAATGACGGCATTAGAACCGGCGCTAGGGCGGGTGCCAAAAAGCTTAACAGGACAGACGGAGCCCACACTCGAGAGCTCGCTCAAGGAAAACTTGGAGTAACACGCTCCGTTTTTGAATCCTGATTAACCGGTGTCAGCGATCGTAAACTTGGAGATAGAGGAATGAGCTTACTAAACGTGAACGCATTTCTCATCAGCAGCGCTAGCGTCGGTGCAGTCGGCGAAAGTGGCAGTGTCAAGACCATCAAGATCATGGCCACCGTAGTCGTTGCTACAGATCGTCTGGAAATTACCAGATGAAGAGATGTAGATGGCATCTTTTACCTACACCGCCCTTGCAACTCGGGGCCGAGATCTTCTTGGCCGACCAGATCGAAGTGGACATAACATTTCGTATATTCCAGTCAAGACATAGATATGTATCAAATAGTTACTGAATTGAGTATATTCTATTGTGAGGACATAGAAGATGAGACTGCAACTAATCACCAACTATTTTGGGGAATATACAGTTATATATTAGAAAGGCGTCAATAGAACGCGAACATAGGTCAACCAATACTAAGCCCAGGCTTATATTTACTTCGTTCTTTTATTCATCACCACAATCAACCTCCTCATTTGCAACAATTTCATATGTCATCTTCCTGCTCAGCTCCTGCGGACACCTGCGGTAGTCGGCATACAGCGTCGCATTGAAGAAATTGCACAAGTCCTGGATGATAGGTCGAGCGGCGAAGAGCGCGTTCTGGTCGCAGGGAGGGTTGGTTTCGGGGTTGGCGGGGAGGGCAAAGGCGCAGGGTTCGATGAGCTAAGAGTTATTAGTTCCAAGATCGCGTGAGAAAAAGTGTGGTAGAAGTTTGATCGATACATAAGGGTAACGTTGGAAGACAATGGGTAAGGCAGTTGGTTTGAGTACACCAGGTAGAGCCCGAGGCAGGTGCGGCGGCAACGCCTGGGAACAGTCTCCCGCAAGGATTGAGATGATAAGAAGATGAGAGAGGACTGCAAATGTGTAACGTACGCTGGAGTATGCATAGTAGTTCACGCAGTGGCATGCGAAATCATTCTCGGCGCAGCCATCGCCTTTGTTGGCGGCTAGTTGACACTCTGCGAGACACTGAGCAGTGACTGGAGGCATAAGAGCCATGAGCTTGTCGTTGTCGCTGGTTGATATCAGTCAGATGTACTTGAAGTCACATTGGTGCTCTTACAGGCAGTGGTACTTGGCGAAGTTGCCGGGCTGCAGGGCTTGCGTAAGGTTGTACGTGAGTTGTGCGCTCGCAAGAGTTGCGGCTGAGAAAGCAACAGCAATGGCTGAAAGACGCATCTTGGAAAGATTGTTGGTAATGAATGAATGTGGAAGTGATATAATAGTGTCAAGTGCCTGAACTTGAGTGGGTATTGATTATCTGGCGACAACTCGATCTTTATATACCTTTTTCTTCAGCTTTACGCCTCCACCACGCCCTGATCTTCTCTCTGAATGCATCGTATGCCATAGGTACCAAGCCTTAGGATCTCCAAACCAATATTGTTTTTCTGCAGGAACAAGCCCTTGCAGATAAGCGACTGCGGCGCTAGTCCCAGACTTGCTTGTCGAGATCCAGATTTTCCAAGGTTCTCCGCATCGGATCGTTTTATCATATCGCCACAGGGCACCCACTCACCCAACGAGCCAAAGAGCCAAGGTTGGCGTTTTCGAAGGCTCGAACCGTGACCTGTGTCATACTACATTACGCAGGAGGCCTTGCGTCCGTACAGCGTATCAACAAGCCAGTCAAATTTGCAGTATCGGAGTCCACACTGACCGGCTGGAGAGACTGAAGTCAGACGTTGTTGACAGCGCCTTAGAGGTTATCATGTTGAACAAATTTTCAATTCTTGATATCTGCTTGAAGACAAGTGGTTTCTAGCGCTTACCCAATGCAGGTGTAAGTCCCTTCGCCAGAGACTGTTGTATCTACCTAGTACCAAGCGTTGTATGGTGATCGGCAATTTACTGCCGTACCGTACCCGGCAAAAGTAGTATGCGGTGGAGATTGTGGTCTGTGTGCTCGCCAACAGTAAAATTAGCAGAAGCGTGTGTTTTTCGTCTGGCGGCAATGGCTGTGCTGGTATGTACTCGGGACCTTATAAGCCACCACGCCACAGCCTCCACTATATACATCTGCTCAGCTGTGTCAACAAGATGTAGGTATAGAAATTCATCTTGACAGCATGCAATTCGTGATTCCTCTGATAAGCAATCTGATGGAGGTAGACATGAAATTATTATTGCGAGAAACCTCAGTGGGTTTGCATCGAGGGAAACGTTGAAATGAAGGCTGAAAACTATGTTGGGACAAGCAACGGGCTCGTAATGCACTAATCTAGCGCTAGCGCCACAGCGGTGGGGAACCGGGGAAGTGGCTTGATGAACAGCAATTGTCTCGTTAGATACAATATAGATGTAAGGCTTGGCTGACATGTTGATTTTTGTAGAAGTCCAGACTTCTAATCGAACAAATGTTGGGCGTGCTTGGCAACAAGCTGAGTCAAAGTAGCGCCGTTTCCTGCGTCTTGCCCCGCTTGTACCACGACACGACACAAAGTATCGAGTGTTCAGCCGCACCGCGCTCGCTCGGATGTACGTTGCATACCGAACCAACTTTCTTGATGCCATTTCGCCCTCCCGCGCGGGCGGAAGCGTTGCCGTAAGCAATACTATTAGGCACGGCAGCAGCAGCGGATTCTTCGACGTTGCCTGCCAGCTTCGGCCGCCAGAGGCTTGATGTGACGATAAGACAACACTCATCTACCACCACCCACCGCAGCAGTCCCTTGCCGTTCAGCATGCAAGCGTAACTCAGAGAGATTCCGTTGCCCGGCATGTTACCTGTTATGCCTGCGCTTACTGCTCTCAAGACGGTTGGGTAGCTCTCGCCGTGCTTCCACTCCATACAGTCAATGCCACGCTTTTGCATGCGGCTGACCAAGTCTTCGATAAGCGCTCGGTACTGCACCACATCCAGCGTCTCCAACGTCATCCAAGCAAGCCGCCACGCTGAACACTCAGCTCTTGCCCCCACCTGTCGGAAGTACGACAATAAACGGCGTCTGCCTGTCAAGCGCTACGTGCGATATCTGCTCTTGCTCGACTGATCGCAAGCCAACTTCCCCTTGACCGACCACCTGCTGCATTGTCTTGCGAGTCACCACCTCGCTCTCGTCGCCAACTCGAGCCTTGCTCAGCCGCAGCACAGGCATTCCGTGCCGCTTTTCCCTCTTCTTTGTGCTGGTCGGGTCTCTGCTATTCATCCGTACCTCCTCTTGCACTCCGGCGCCCCTTCCAAGCCATGAAAGGCAGTGGCACAGCGTGCTGGGTTACCGGAAAGCTTCTAAGTCTTCCCCCTCGTAATCTACTTCAGCCTCCATCATCTCCCCGATCTCAACCTTATAGCCTTTCCTGAACGACTCACCCACACCACCTTGCCGATATCTACGGCTGCATGTTGATAAATCATCGTGTGCAGCTCAGCTCATCTCTCGGCAACCCTTGCGCGGACGGCAGCTCAAATTCTCGTGGCGCATGTAGACTTAGATTGCTACATCCGCTCTTCACTCTGCCTGCTACAGCGTGCTGATCTCGCAGATGCACATTGACATTATGTTTCCCTGTAGCGTGGTTCTTGCAGATGGATACAGCACAAGTGTTCCCGCACACTGTTAAGCATTGTTGCAGCCAACAGCGGTTCGACGTGGTTTACTTCTGCTTCTTGGTATTGCGAGCAGACAATGATGTTTAACTCATGATTCGTGATACCAATCAATCATCGAGCTCCACCTGTGCGGAATGGGAATATTGCGCTACCATCATCGCCTGCACTTCCTCCATACATTCTTTTTTGCGGTAGCGACCCAGGTCGGGCCAGTTATGTCTGTGATAAATTGCTTGAACCGCGGTCAACATACCATCTTCAAGCCCTTCAATCCAGACATCTTTTACAGTGCGCGTTCCAATGGGTACAAAGTTAAGTTTCCGAAAGTGAGATTTTAAGACTTCGAAAAAGTCCTCAATTGCCCAAACAGCTCCTGAGTCGCGCCACTCGGCTTCTTCATCGGGTGCCCAGTCCTCCGGACTATTCTCCACCTGTCTAGGATCTTCCCGGATGGGGCTAAAGCACTCGTACCAGTGCACAATGCCGAGTTTGGTGTCAAGCAAGAAGAAGGGGCTGATTTCTCCTCCTTCCGTCAATCCCACAACATGGGGAGGCACAGAACCCTCATCTGGGTCCAACTCCGTGTAGGTTTTCACTTTCTTGCCATCGGGATCGAGAGCGAGAGCTTGCCAGTTCGCAAAGTTACAGTCAGGGGCTCCATCAATTGCCACGGCGCCATTGTCGCGGATGTAAGGGAGATGGCGAAGCAGCGAAATAACCGTATCTGTCTTGTCTAAATTTTCCCAGGTGTTCGAATTGATGGATGGCCACCCGCCCTCAGGTGGTTCGATAACTTCGGACTCGTCCAGGTACATCGCGACGAGAAAGCGGTAGTAATCGCGAATCGCAGCAACAGTAGCATCGCGCGAGTAGCTGACATCGCATAAATGCACCATGATTGTAGTCGGGAACAAATGATTTCAGAAATTCTAAGGAGTACGAAAGTGAGTAACAGCGTCTAACTAAACATCGTCAGGTGGGGCTAGGCCACCTGAAATGCCCCACGGGAGCGAACACCTAAAGTAGAAACTCGAAGCTTCACGAAGTTGAAGATAGAAACCTAATCGCAAAATTACAGCCTTGCCAGCTTATATGCTGAGCAATCGAGCATAGTCAGAAGTATGCAGACAGTTCGGGTCATTACTTTCTCGCTGGCAATCGCAACCTCGAGCGAGGGTTCGAAAATAAAATCATCGGGAAAAAGGGTCCGTGGTATCTTACAGCAAGGTGATTCCATACTCATTCAAAGCATACATGCGCTGTTCCAGGCCAAGATGAGATCACTAGTACACACAATCAGCGACAACGCATCAAGCATTCGCTTACTATCCCGGCCGAACATTGGTGCGGCATTCTCACCCAGAAATACTGGGAATCTCCTAGTCAATATTCGCGAATGTGTTAAGGCAGACGTGTTTATTAACGATGTGAACAAGATCGCGACCTAAAGCTACCTTAGAAATAGTATAGCATTAGCCATGCAAGTTCAACCCCAATTCCAGACATTCGGTAAGGTTCCTCCAGTACGTTGAGAAGTCCAGCTTCACTTAAAGGGTTTGTAGGTCTCGGAGGACAATTTAAGTCCATGTGTGTTGTACTGTCCCTGTAATGTGACTGTATCAGCGTTGTCAAGATGATTTCAAAAAACCTTTTTTCAAGTGCAGTTGTAGTTATATCTTGAATAGAGGAATATCTCCTGACAGTATTTCAACTGTCTACGAGACGTTTCACAAAACTACCCTCAAGCTATCAAGCTTCTGAATTATATGCGTTCTCGCCACGACGTGTAAGAGGATGCAGTAAGACATATTTCCAAATGAAACATAGAATCGTACTCTACTGATCCTGCTCGAATGAATCAAAACACTTGATGTTGTTATTGTCTTTTCACTAGGCCAAGCTCTCTTTATGCTGCAAATACCTCTCGTCTATGTCTACAGGAAGTCTGTAGCGAAGATTGTGAAGATAGTCAAGACTTTTAAGCTGCTTCTAGATGTTTAAGCTTAGTATTATAGACTGCAACTATAAAATGAAATTTTCCAGAAGCAAAGTTACGCTAAATCTTAACATGTATTCCAGAGAAATACCAGAATTTCGCATGTTGAGGGTGTGAAAATTTGAGGTTCGTACCTCTCAAACGCCAAAAAAGGTGACGAAAAACGAGGGGAAATTGTAACTAATCAAGTTTGTGATACGTGCCTTGCAAACTTACACAGAGAAGGTAAACTTATAATTGGGTCACGCATCCTTCCTTGCAGTTAGACTCGAGGGTGGAGATGTCTGAAGCCTACCTGGAAATCAGGGGAGACATACAAAAGAAGAATGTATCATCATAGCTCACAGTCATGACGTAACGATATTCAAGAAAACTTTTAAATGTCTGTTAAATCGAGTGACATGGGGAAATGTGAAGAATGTTGGCATCATTAAAAGCAGATACAAAACTTATGGTGTAAGACTTGCCTTCCTATCACATTAGTGGGGCTCGTAGTCCTCAACACCAGACTGCGCCACACTGCGCGGGAGCTGTTGTTGACTACATTCCTCATTTAGATTGGCCAAGCCATGGTAATGACGACTTGACATACGATACTAGCGCCCGCCCCACATGGAACAAGCATTGACCAGAAACGCCAAGATCTAAAACCTGATGATGAGCTCCTGCACTACGACTCCCCCTTTGGAATCTCAAAGCTTTGAAACAAGGAACGTAGTTTGATGAACATGTCGTAACGCCCCAGCCATCCCAAATACCCGTGGGTATATAGTCGGGCTTCGTCTTCCTTATTTCGCCGGATCAAATCACCACACCGCTCTTCTGTTCTTCCGTGCAACATGGTCAAAGTCGCCACAAGATCGTCGACGTCGACGTCGACGACAACAACGGAGCCCCCGATCGCAAGTTTCTCGCCCATCTCCCGGAATGCGAATAAGGATCCGTATTGGCCGACCATCGCAAACATACACCACATTCCCGAATGGCTCAAGGATCAAGATTACATTGTAGAAGGCCACCCGATGCCCACCCATTCATACAGGCGATCGTTTCGGCTGTTGCGTTGCCTACATACGGAGACGATAAATATCTGGACTCATCTCGTCGGCAGTGCAGCACTCGTAATGACCGGCATCGCGCTGTACGACTACGCCATATCGAACTCGCTCCCCTCGGATCTCGGCGATAAGTTTGCGTTCGGAATCTCTATCATCGCCGGAATTGCGTGCTTTGGAATCAGTGCTGTATTCCACACCTTTAGAAGTCACTCGCGCGAAGTCCACGTTTTTTGGCGGAAATGGGATGTTTATGGCATTTGCCTGCTTTCATTGGGTGGAGGAGCTGCTGCCACTTATTACGGATTTGCTTGCGACCCCACGATGCAAATGTCGTACTGGGCTCTCCACGCAAGTGCGGCTGTGGCGGCCGCTGTAATAGTATTTGATACCAGTGACGATGAGAGCACGATCTCGCGTGAAGGCGTGTTTGGTTATCTTGGGCTTGTCGCGCTGCTCCCTGTTCTTCACAGTATTGGGAAGCTGGGCTGGGACCGGGCCTGCATAGAGTTAGGTGCACATTGGTATCTCTCTGAGGCTTTGGTCATGTGCCTTGGTGCATCGTTGTTCGCGTCGAAGTTGCCTGAACGGCTCAGCCCAGGAACCTTTGATATATGGGGTCATTCGCATCAACTGCACCACATCTGTGCTGTGATGGCATCGGCATTCCACGTAGTTGGTTTGGCAGCAAGCTATCGATATCGTCAAGAACACCCAGGATGTTGATATCCAGCTCGTGCATTGCGCATCTACTCTTTAGGACGTGTATGTAAATAATCTCTCGACAGAGAAGAACTGTTGGCATTTTAAACGTGCTGAACACTCATCACCTTGGCGTAGGCATGTCGAGCAAGTGCAAGTCCAGATGATATCGCAGCAGCTGAGGAGATAATCAATGCCGTCTAACCAGGATCCAAGCGCTAGCAAAGAATGAACGAAGTCTTCTCCAAAACCCTGTCCTCTGTGTAGTGAGGACTCCACTTTCGTCTTCTCATTCATTATCACTCTCCAGGTGTGCATTGAGCTCGCAAACCTCATCCTCGATTTCGTGGCCAAAGTAGGTCCCGCTCATCCATCCTCTTAGACAGCAGTCGCCTACAAGTTGGTAGTCAGGGTGTTCTGTTTGGTTGTCTGTGACCTTGCGAAGCATGAACGGTGTGTGCCCGCTGTCGAAAATCGCGACTTCGTCTCCTGGGTCCATGGTCCGGTGGCGACAGCCCATATATCCCTGTTCTGTCATAAAGATCGTATGAGAAAGATGAGAGCTTCGAAAAACTGTTATTACTGAGCGGATGAAAGTCTATATCTCCTATGTTGTGGATTTTGGGACTTTAAGGTTGTCATTAAAGAGCATAGTTTTGCAAAGAATTTCGACATGTCTTTCCCCACTATACGGTGAGGGTCCTGGGAGGTTCGATCTCATGCCGCCGGTGTCTGCATCTACAGAGAATCTCGCGTCATACTTGAGACGTTCTAACCAAAGAGCCGTGAAATCAGGATGGAACTGAGTCAGCCAAGCAGTGAAGTGGGAAGCCGATGGTGCTGATGACGAAAAGCTGTCGAAATGTTCCACGTCCAACACGGACATAACAACATCGATTGAGGTTCCATAGATCGGCAGGTGTTGAGCGTCGGATACTAGGGCTTGAACTGGCAAGCGGGCTGGACGTGATGTTCAGAGGATCCCAGGTCAATTCAGTCCGAGACAGGAGTGAGCTTCCCCGCTCGAAATCAATAACAGGAATAAACTAGGTGTATGTGTATCGTCGACGGGACGGACACCGCTGTCATGGAGTAGAGATAAATGGCCACCAAGAATACATTTGACCGTGAAGTCCTGGATTATCTCATTCAGTATCGCGTTGTAGTCGGGCACGATGGCCATCGACTGGTTGAACAGCCCAAGCATAGCAAAAATTCGACCCCGAGGATTGCCGCATTGCCGATATTTGCCTAGATTTACGATATCTCTGGCCTTAATTCCCGCCACTGTTTGTGAAACGCATGAGTTTGAGAGGATGACCTGGCGGTAATGGTCGCGGAATATGAGTAGATCGTAAGTGTGATAGAAAACGATATTTCCTTGGTCAATACGACGCTTTCCTATCTTACTAAACAACTCCTGAATCAAAGTTATAACAATGGAGAGTCGTTCGAGTTCTTCGCTGTCGTTTCCGACAAATATGCAGACCTCTCGAGCCAGAACGAATTCTTGTACGATCCACAGTCTTTCGACCCAAGGTCCAGAAAACAATTTGCATAGCGGTGAGTCAGATTCTGTGAGATGTAGCATGTCGAACATGGCTTTACCACCGTCATTGAAATCCAAGGCGCTTATGATTGTTTCTTTATCTTCGCTAAGCTTTCGGAGGACCTGGATCCCTTCCGTAGCATCTTCTTGTCCAAGCCATACAGTGACACTTGAGGCGTTCCGATAGACAGCGCCCATCTGCGCTACATGATGCCCCTTCTCATTCAGATTGAATTGGTGGATACACACTGCATCTGCCCAGAGTAATCGAGGTGCATTTTCGTTCCGTAAAGCCTGCAAAGCGTCGAAAAGATTTTCTGTGATGTGGGTCACTGTGCCAGAGGCCACATCCATGACGATTTCTGGAAACACTGGTTCTCCCCAGGTGTAGGATAGTGCCTCGTACTCTGGCTCGTCACTTCTCCGGACCTCGGTAAGAGAGCATCTTAGGTGTGAACCTTGTCGCCCAGGTAAGAGTTCCAGAAGCCGAATAGAGTCCGGATGTTGTAGAGGTCGGTGTGCGTAGATGCAGCCATCTGATTCGGTCCTGATAGTTGGAAGATAGGTACACCTGTCAAGTCGTGACACTGCGCAGTCTTAAAGTGAGACTTGAACCAAGCGGCGTTAAGCGAGGTAGAGCAATGCAAGGCTATGTAGCAGTGAGAACCATGAGTTGTCAAACCAAAATCGAGATACGTCAATCCACACGGAATCATTCTGGATAGAGGTATGAAGTGATGACTGCTGCCTGATCGTCTTGGCCGCATTAGGTGTGGCTAGGCATTCTCAGCCTGCTCACCACATTACCATAACACGAAAGTTCCCTTACCTCCCAAACTCGGCCAACTGCACAACGCTCAGTAAAAGCCAAGCAAAGACTAGAAGTTGATGCTGGGGGATGGAAGTTCCTAGAGAAGGGTGGTCTTCCTGAACATGCAATACAACACGGTAAGCGGTGGTCTGATAACGTAAGAATCACATCAGGAAGCTACATAAATGGCCACTTTACCTATTACTATTCAACATGCGATACCTACATCTTGAACAGGCAAAGATTCCACTGTGTAGACAGTATTTACGAATACACTTCAGATTTCAAGCTTCGACTCATGATTCGGTTGCCCTTCTCAAGTTAGAGTTTCGAATTATCAGTCCCGCATTATTCTTTTTCATATGCAAGCAGTTCCTGCACCAGGCTGCAAGAAACATGGTCGATTGGTCGATGCTCAAGAAAAACGACGAGATCACTGCTCAACAGCCCTCGAACGTGGACCTATTTACTTACTGCATTTCATATAGAACCGTTCAGATGCACGTGAAAGTATAGCATTAACACAATAAATGCATAGCGCGAACCACGGTATATCATTGGTCGACACTGTTAATCCAAAGATACTACCAAGAGCTCTCCCCTATAAAGTAGCATTCCAATAAAGGCTACACTATGATTGCGCTGTAAAGTATCCACAGGGCCCATTTCCAATATTGTAAGATTGGGATCCTGCTTTAGTTGTGAAAAATCCAGCATTCGCACTTGTTGAACAAACACCCAAACGCGAATATAATAGAATACAATTTTGGTAAAAGAAGTAGCCTTGGCATCCCTTCGTTCCCGTTGTGGGAACGGTCTGGCACTCGATGCAGCATGCCTCAGCCGATGATGCCGCAGTGAGGTCGAAAGTAGAGACTGTGTTAGCACCGTTATTGAACATACTGTCAACAGGTATTCCGTTGTAGCTAGAGATTATGTTGTTCGTTGAGCAAGCTGCGTAGGAGGTGACAGTGGTTGAAGAGACTACCGTGGAAGTGGTCGTCGATACTGAGGTCGTGGTACCAACTTCTACCATGGTAGTAGTAATTGTTGAGGTTTGAGTGACGGTAGATGTGGCCTTGGCGAGTAGTTGAGTTTCAGTTTTGGTTGAGGTGATTGTTGTCGTGCTGAGAAGAAGCGGTGCTGGTACGGTGATAGTAACTGGTGAGCCCTGGACGGTTGTGGTTATGATGGCCTTGATCTGTAGTACGGTGTTGCCTATGTGGTTGTTAGCCAAAATGAGTAAAGAGGAGAAATGAGCGCTTACATGTAACAGACGCTGGAAACCACACTCCGGTACATCCTTCCTTGTTGCCTCGCTGTAAAAGCGGGCTCACTTCCCTCTTAGTGGGTTGCAGTACCAAGGGAGCACTGTCTACGATGTTCAAGAATCCGGATGAAGTTGGGATGGTAGATGTGACCGTTGTTGAAGAAGACACCTCTGTACTGATGATGCTTGTTGCAGTTTGGAAGTTAGTGCCTGTGTGACGTAGTTAGTCTTTGTTTGAGACAGCCTGTTATCCGCATGCTACGTACTGGTTACGGTGTTGGTCTGGATCACCGTAGTAGTCAAGGGTTTCGTGATTGTTAACAGAGTTGTAGTGACCTTCTTGACGTCGACTTTTGTGACGGTGATAGTCTTTGCCTTTGGCGTGACCTTCACGGTAGTTCGTGATGTTTTGGTGATAACGTTGGGAGGAAGGACCTGGGTGCTGGTAGAACTCGAGGTTGGAACACTTTTCAAAGACTTGGTGCCTGTCCTTGTCACACATGCTGTCTTTGTGTTTGTGATTGATGATCCTTCATTGACTGCGGCGCCTAACGCGGAAGCGAAGAGCAAGGGGATCGTGAAGAAGACCTTGGAATGCATTGTATGTAATTGGGCAATTGGTGTTGAGATGAAAATACTTGGGTCTCACAGGTTCGCCTCGACATATACAATTCCTGAGCTCGAGAATCCTCGATTCTGAGAATTTCCAAAATATCTGGAAATGGCGGTGGCTTGCGAGGTTATCGTCTTCAGCCGCAAATGGGCCTGAGGCTTGCGGCGAGACCATCATACACGTGCTCAGACCGCCTCAGATGAGTATTTGCCCTGGGTAATAGTTACGCTATTGCTTCGGGTATTGGCGTAGCCGAGCTTGGCATCTACAAAAATAGGCGAGCTGCCTCCCCATCTTTCGAGTGCGGCTGAGTTGATTGGCCTCATTCACCCCTTCACCTCAGCACGAGGCTTTGCAGCTCGCCATGATGTTGCCCAAACCCCTCACTAGAGTAGAAACAAGACTTCTAAGGCGGTACCTTCTGAATAGAAGTGTACCTATCTTGAAGAAATGTGTGTGTTTGCGGATAACTACTAATTATAACATCGTTTATCCCCAACATCTACTCACCGATTAGCCTTTATCTCAAGCGCCTACCCATCCACACGCCCAAGGCACAACGAAACGCCCTCGAAAGACGACTTCTCAAGAACAAAATAGAAGGCATAACTTACCACTCAATCAAGGTCCCTGATATACGCCAACAAATCTTCAACCCTTAATAGGTATAGTATATTCGTCACGCACAGGAGAAAAGGAGTGGAGCCCGCAGTCAGCAGCCCCGCGGAGTAAATACAGAAGCAGATTTACAAAGCTCACTCCGGATACAGTCCTGATATGAGTGTCTATTCAACTACCGAAAGCATTCTGCATCCAGTAACGTGTTTCAAGTAATCTTTGGCATGTGTGCGTCTACGTGCTTGTTACTTCCGCGCGTCTCGCTGTCTACGCAGGGAGGCCTTTTTTCTTTTCTTCGTATGGACAAGAGTTAACGGTTTATCTGCGATTGAATACTGATTGTCTATAACAACAAACACAGCGTAGTTTAATGAACTTTCAATTCTAAAGCTCTGATAGGTTGTTGACTACAAGCTTCTCCGCGGACCCTATCATATCCGTGCGATATTGAAGCATTATAACGCAGCTTTTTGGTTTGATGGATAGATCCGACATGTTGAAGTCTTACGAACACCACCATGCGCAACCTGCGTCCCTTCGCGCAGACCCACTGTCAATTTGCTCGGACGCAAGGGCAACGCGACGGAGGTCAACGACGCGCAGAAAGTCACGAATAGGCGCTCTTGCGCAATGATGGATTGAAATGAATGACCGAGAGAAATTTTGAGGTTGTGTCCTGTATCGCGAGCAAAACCACCACATTCCCATCCCCATCACACTACAGTAACACTGCACTCAGTAGCATGCTTATCAAAAGACATTTTGGGAAAGACGTGTACGACCCCAACCCTCACAAGAGAACCCTGTTCGGGACCACGCTGCAACAACAGCATCGCAACGGAAGAACTCCCTTCAAAAAGGCCAAAGCACATCGTCCTGCTCCAATCCAACAAACTCTCTATACGCAAGACGGTAGTCTCAATATCAGGCACGTGCTGGCGATGATCGTATGCAAGTCCCGTGTCGAGGTAGATTCTCATGTATCCGGGGTCTTTTTTGCGATCGTGATACCAACGCGTTCTGCTGTTTATGACTTCGTTGACGAGATCGGAGCCTTGTATTGCGCGGCCTTGGAGACGTATGAAGGCTTGTGTGATGCGTCCGAAGGGGTCGGATGTTGTGGGCGTGCTTCCTGCGGAGAGGAGGGTGCAGATTGGCCATTCGGGGACGTGGAAGACGGGGAATGAGATGGGGGTGCGGCATTTTATCCAGGAGAATGTAGGCCCGGATACATCGTTGTCTTTTGTTGGCTCTGTTGTGTGCCAGCTCAGTTGGAAGGCGATGCCTTTTTCCCACATGCCGGCTATATACTTACCAGGCTGGATTGAGAGTGTACGGCGGGCAATTCCTGATAGCGCGGGCAGTACGTCGTTTGCATACGTCAGGTGTCGCTTGCTGTAATCGGAGACTATGTTCGCCCACTCACGGCTGAATTCGAGTTCGTGTGACCAGCGAGGGTTATGCGGTTTTTCTTTTGGCGGCCAGGTGATTTGGTTTAATGTTGAGTCGTTTTTGGTACCACATTCACATCTTGTGCTTGTCTTGCATTCATACAATACCTCGTCAGGCAGAAAATGCACGGTCCGAGTGGCCAGGAGTCTCTCTTGCATGGTCCATCCTCGCTTGAACAAAGGAAACTGGCTCAGTCTGGTTTGCTCGATGAAACCGTGATTGTTCACAACTCTGGCTTGCAATGTGAAAGAATGATTTGAGCCTCGGCGTGCAGTGATACTGTGAGCTTGTCGTATATTCAGGAAGCCCTCGGCGACGTTACTTGCCCCCGTAGCTGCCAGAACAACGTATGCATTCGAATAGAGATCCCCCATTTTGGCACTCTCTGTGGCCCAATCGTCTTCGTCGTCTTGCACAATGCAAATGGAATCAATCCAGAGGTAATCTATCCCAAGCTTACGAGTCATCACTACGGCATCCTTGAGGGTTTGCGGAAGGTTGGAGATGTTGAGATGGTTGTAACGTATCGCAACGTTGGCCTTTGTAGTTGTGGGTTGTTTGAATGATCCCCAACAGTAACTCAGGGCAGCATAGCGGACGGGCGTTTCCGGCGATCTCAAGCATGCATCGCCATCCAACTTGATTAAACGTTTCGGAATGGACTTGTTGAATATGGTACAATCATGGTGAGTAGCTACGCAGCTAGCAATCCAGCTCTGGATCTTGCTCAACATTTGTGCTGATGTCGGGTCCTGACAGATGCCAACTTTCGCCACTGGAAATGGATTATGACGGTTGTGTAGCTCTACAGTCATCATGAGCGCATTGCTGTTTGAAAGATTTTCGACAGACCTTCTGAATATAATCCTACAAAAAGCTCTTCAACGTGACCCTTAGTATTCTCCCAGCTGTACACAGGGCGCACCATACCCTGATCAATGATATCAACCGACCCGAGCGTCATCGAGATCAAGTCCAACTCTCGAGCTGTACCGCGCACGGAAGAATAGTATGCTTGTAGTAGAATGTTGCAGAAGACACAATCAGGGTTGAGCTCCGAAAGATCGGGCCAAAATCTGTTCTCGTCATTGCCAGGTGACCAGAAACCGGGTACGCAGTACGTGCAAGTAATGAGGTAAATGGAGCGTTCAGACCTTGACATACTCAACATCGACCACCAACGGCGTAGTACATATTTGAAGCTTTGAATGAACTTCTTTTCTCGGTTTGCTATAGGTCCGTATGTTGGTTAGATAGGAACCTTACATTTGGGGATTGTCTTACACCAGGGCGAGGCTATTGCAGATCTTCTGTAACAGGCTAGCATCGCGTCTCTCCGTGGAAATCACCGGAATCTGGCTGTAAGACATCGCGCAGTGAGATCAGTAGTATACTTTAAATGTCGGAAGAAGCGGTATGGTTGCCTAGAGAAGATTCTCGTAGATGAGCCAGCGACGATTCTACAACGAACGACCGCTTTTGAGCGTCATCGCCGCGTGCGGGGATGAAAATCTTGAAAGTTCGGCGGGAGGAAGAACGAAGCAGCAAAGGTCGACGAAGGGGAGTGTCGCAACGGCAAAAGGCCGAGTAGGAATGTTTCAGCCTGATCGTCTTGGCCGCATGAGGTGCGGCGAATCATTCTCGCCCTGCTCATCGCGCTGCAGTGTAAGTCTCATGAGCTGTGCTAAGCATGATAGTAGCAAGAAAATACGTAGAAGTTGATGCCTCGAGTTGTGAAGTGTCACAACAAGCGATGATGAGATGACGTATGTAAGGACCGAACCAGGAAGCCAGCCGCCCGAAATGGGAGGGACGACCTGCTTGTTCAGTTACTTTGGGACAAGCACGACAGGACATTCACACGGTGAAGGGTTTAACTAGGTTTTGATCATCATTAATTGTTGACTTCATTTCATTTCATTTCGTTTGGTTCCACTTTGTGCCTAGTACCATGCACGCAAGTCTATACCTCCTTCTTGGGCACGCCACCAGGCAGCGTGTGCACCTTCTCGGTGAACAGTTTCTCAGCGCCCTGCCAGACCGGTGTCGAGTCGCGGTCCTTCAGGCCCATGAGGCTGGGAAGCAGCGCATTGCTGAACGCTTCGGAAGACTCGCGAGGTAGAGCAGATGGCAGGTGGTCGATGGAGATGACGCTCAACCTTGGACCATTGCCCTCGACCTTGACTTCGACCGTTGGCTTGTCGAAGGTTGTGTTGATGTTGTAGATGGGGATGGGGTTGTGTGGGTTGGTGGTGTCACAGCTGACATCGCACACGACGCTCAGCTTCCTGCCCTCCTTCTGCAGACTCTTCTGGTCGACAAATGGTGGGATGGGCTTGGACAAGTAGATGCAGTTGACAAAGATGTCTGACTCGAGAATCTCTGGGTACGGGCCATCGCGCGACTTGGTCTCGGGCAGGTCCCATTTCTTGATCTCAGGGCAGCCGATCTTCTCGAGCAAGTCGACAGCGCCGGAGCCGCAGCGGCCGAGGGCGCCAAGGACGAGGGAGGTGGGCTTGTGACCAGAAATCTTTTCGCCGGCCGCGACGTCCTCCTTGAGCTGGGTGAGGAGCTCAGTCTCGTTGTTGTAGTAGCCGCGGCCGTCGGTGAAGGTCTCGATGCCGGGGAGGGGCTCGCCGTTGGGGTGTGTGAGCTGCCATGCCCATGTCTAGCTGGTCAATAGTGTCATCTCAGGGAGGATGAGTTGTACGTACCTTGATGGCGAGCGCAGCACCAACGAAACCAGCGTGGTATCCAAACGCCGCAACACGCCTACCACTCTCGTCTTGCAAGAATTCCAGATCATACAGCACACCCCCACCTCTTGGGAATCGTGCGAGCACTGTTTCCCAGCCGCCTTGCTGCTTGTAGCAATGCGCAAAGTGGACGAATGTGTGTTCGAGCGGGTGCTCCTCCTCTGGCAGCTCCTTCAGGCCGATGATGATGCGGTCGTTGGGCGCATTCTTCCACGACCCCTCGTCGACGAGGGTCGCGCCTGCCTGCTCAAACTCCTCGTCCTTGAAAATACGGTCGAGATCTGGGTTGGTGGAGCTGCGCTCGACGAGGACTGGGTAGCCGGCGGCGAGGAGCTTCTTGACCGTGGTGGGTGTGAGGCAGGAGCGGTGCTCGAAGAGCTTGGCCTCAGCGCGGGCGTGGAGTGTGGGGTAGGTCATGGTGGGGGGTGTGAGTGGGCAGAGAGGTGTGAGGAGGGTGGTGAGTCAATTGAACGAACTGGCGTGAATGCTGTTTCCTCGACGTCTTATATGTGGTGCGACACGAGATCGGAGTTTGCGATGCGGAACACAAAGCAAGTCCGCGATGACTCCATGGCGAAGGACATTTTCGGCCAGGGTGCTCCGAGAACGGCGCTACTGCAGGACCCAGTCCGAGGCGTTTCTCCAGCTAACGGCCGTGGAAGTCACGGCGCGTGTCAATGGCGTGTCTGCTCTGCCTCTTCAGCAAAGTCATGCCATGTCTCTACACTCGCACTCTCTGGAACCCTCCCTGTCATCTGCGTTATGTCATTGGAGAAGTGGGGCCAGTGCACGTGCGTTGACGGGATGACTTGGAGCGAGACTCTGACCCTGGACCTCTGAAGGAAGCTAGCCCGACAGAAAAAACACCAAAGCTCGCTCGTCTCCAAGGCTCAGTGTTCACTCATGTCGCGACGTCCAAGTCGATGACAACCATGGCAGCGAATAGGGCACACTCCCTTTGAACAGCCGCAGACGATCAAAGTCGGTGTATAGTGGAAGCGAATCGCATCGAGCGCTCTTATCTCCGCAATCCACACAAGCCTCACCATGCCGCCCAAGAAGGAAGACGACGCGCCCTCGAGGGCCTCGCACTCGCGCGACTCCTCCAACGCCAGCACTCGACATGCCCACGCGCCTGCTACGCCCAGCCAGCTGCGGCAGACATACGTCCCGTCTGAGAGATCGAGCTCCCCCGAAGAGACGATGCACCCGCGGCCATACTACGACGACGACTTCGACACCCTGGCCAGCATGACGGCCCGCCAGGACTTTGAGCCCGCGAGCGACAACACTTCTCCAGCCAACGGCACCAACGCCGAATACTCACCGCACAACACTGCGACCTCACCTGGGCCTATACTGGAGATCGACCTCGAGCCGACAGTGCGCTCGCGCCTGCTGAATAATCCGAACTGGGATGCGGGCGAGGATGCGCCTCGGCTACAGCGTAGCTACGGAAGCTTTGCGGGCACCGTCAATACTGAGTACAGCTTCGACGGCCACCCGGGAATAACAGAAACAGCAGAGGGACACAGCCCAGACGCCACACACGCATTGCTGGGTGATGCCTTTGCAGACGGCGTCATGGGCGGTGGGAGCGGGCCGAAGAGGAGCACCACCAAACTGTTGGCTGACCTCCACGGCATCAAGAACAAGCGCATGATGTACCTGCAGTACTACATCCCCGTCCTGAACTGGACCAAGCAGTACAAATGGCGCTTCATCAAGGGCGACCTCATCGCCGCACTCACAATGGCTTCCTTCTACATTCCCATGTCGCTTTCATATGCCTCGAATCTCGCGCATCTTCCACCTGTCCATGGCCTCTACAGCTTCGCCCTCAACCCGCTGATATACGGCATCCTAGGCACCTGTCCGCAGATGATCGTCGGACCCGAGGCCCCTGGTTCTCTCCTCGTCGGCGAGATCGTGCGTGAAAACATCAACAAGGGCACCACGGGCGACGACGACGGCAGACGGAACGCTGAGATTGCCGGAATCGTCACCTGCCTTGCCGGCGCATTCATTTTCGTCGCAGGCCTGTTCCGTCTTGGCTTTCTCGACAACGTGCTCAGCCGACCCTTTCTGCGTGGCTTCATCAGCGCCATCGGTGTGGTCATATTCATCGACCAGCTGATCCCCGAAATGGGTCTAGCGCGGCTAGCCGCTCAAGAAGTTGCCCACGGAAGCTGCATCGATAAGCTGGTGTTTCTTGTTCGAAACATTAACCGTGCGCATGGCCTTACTTGCGCCATGTCTTTTACCGCTTTCGGTATAATCATGTTCTTCCGCGAATTCAAGAAGCGTCTGCAACCGCGGTACCCCTCCGTGGCATACATCCCCGACCGCTTCGTCGTCGTCGTGCTCTCTGCGATCCTGACATGGCACTACAGACTCGACCAGCAGGGGCTGGCCGTGCTTGGAGACGTCAATTCTAGCGGCAAGCTATTCGCCGTTCATTTTCCCTTCGACACTTCATCTCTGAAGTACGTAGGTGACGCAATCAACACGGCTCTAATCATCGCCCTGCTTGGCTTCTTCGAGTCCTCTGTCGCAGCGAAATCCCTAGGCAGTGGGGACCACACAAAGGATGGCGTGCACCTGCCGCTCTCTGCCAATCGCGAGCTTATCGCCCTCGGCACAGCAAACATCACCGGCGGTCTCTTCATGGCGCTCCCCGCTTTCGGAGGCTACGGACGCTCAAAGGTCAACGCTTCGACGGGTGGACTGACACCAATGTCCAACATCTTCCTGTCCCTCATCACCATCCTCTGCACTGTCTTCCTACTGCCGTACTTCTACTACCTCCCCAAGGGCGTTCTCTGCGCCATGGTCAGTGTCGTAGCATACTCTCTGGTCGAAGAAGCACCTCACGACATCAAGTTCTTCTGGCGCATCCGAGGCTGGTCCGAACTCATCCTCATGGGTCTCATCTTCAGCATCACCATCGTATGGGACCTGAAGCGCGGCATCGGCGTCGGCATCGGACTCTCCATCCTCCGTCTGATCAAGCACAGCGTGCGCCCGCGCATTCAGATTCTCGGCCGTGTACCAGGAACAACCAACCAGTTCAAGAACGCGGAACTCGACCCCGGCAGTCTCGAATTCATCGAAGGATGCCTCATCGTTAAGATCCCTGAGCCCCTCACCTTCGCAAACACAGGCAACCTGCGCACTCGCCTCGGCAGACTCGAAGACCACGGCACTGGCACCGCACATCCCGCACTCCCACGTATTCGCCGCGCAGAACACAACAAAAACGTCATCTTTGACGTTCACGGCGTCACCTCGCTCGACGGCGCGGGCGCACAGGTCCTAGCTGAGATCGTGGACGCGTACCGCAAACGCGGCGTGCGCGTGTTCTTCTGCAGGGTGCCCAGCGAGAGGAGTCCCGTTGGGCAGCTTTTTGAGAAGAGTGGCATTGTCGAGATGTGCGGCGGACAACGCCATTTCGTGAGTAGTGTCGAGGAGGCGCTGCGCATGACGGAGTTGGAGCGTCTGACGGAAGAGTGGAGTGAAGCAAGTAGTTCGAGAGTGCATACACCGAGGTAGTTAGATGGTGGGGAGTCTGTATGGTGTGAGGGTGTTTGAGATCTTGGCGTTTAGACGGCATTGGCGTCTTTCTGTTTACGTCTCCTCCGTTTTGGGAGACTGCATCGCGTATAGAAATTTAGACCGATCGTCTCTGGCATATTCATATCATTTTTGGTACTGCGCGTGCTATCGGAGTAACCATGTGTCTTCCTAGCTCGTGCGTCTTGATCCGCTCGCCTACTGTAGTTTCCTTCTTCCAACTGGTTGACATTCACCTTTCCCAACCAAGACCCGATCATCTACGCGCCAAGATGAAGTGTAGCGCGCATTATCGGTTAGATATAGAAGAGTCTTGTTCGTGAGCTGAATGCCCGTTAGATAAATGTCCCATTATCTTGCGCTACAAACCGAGAGCCATGCCTCACTGATATCAGGTACTAGAGATAGCCCTCCCTCACTGGACAAACCGAGTGGCAAGAATACTTACACACTGCTTTGAATTTGTAGCCCTGGGTTGTTTGCTCTCTGTAACTCCCTTACATAGATGGGTTATGCTTCCACAACCGATTCAAAAGTGGAGATTCATTTTATATAGCAAAAGCAAGGCGGTATAAGCGGCAATACAAAAGGTAGTACCTACTCACAAACTCTTCCCAACCACCTAACCCACCCTCCTCTTCAACCCCACCTTACACCCTCCATACCCCGTACACGTAAAACCAACCTTCTCCTTCCACTCCCCAAAGTCCCTCTGCTCAACATCAAACATCTGCAACAACCTCACAACCACAAACGAAACCTCCGTCAGCGCAAAGTTCTGCCCAATACACACACGCGGCCCGCCACTGAACGGAATATACGCCCAGCCTGGCCGAAACCCAGGATCAAGCCAGCGCTCGGGCTTGAATTCGTCGGCATCCGCGCCGTAGACGTCCGTCCGGTGGTGCATAGCGTGGGTGTAGTAGTTCACGTATGATCCTTTGGGGACGAGGACTGGGGAGGTGCCGTCCGGGCCGCCGCCACGGGGGAGTATGGTATCAGTGAGGGCTTCGCGCGAGTTGGCGGGGACGATGGGGTATATGCGTTGGGACTCGTTTATGATTGCGCGCAGGTATTTGAGCGATTTTAACTGCTCGTATGTCGGTGTTTCGTCGCCGATGTGTTCTGTGATTTCTTGACGTAGGCGTGAGAGGATGGCGGGGTGGCGGGGGAGCTCCCATAGGAGGTTTGATAAGAGGGAGGCGGTGGTGTCGCGGCCGGCGAGTAGGAGGTGGAGGAGTTCGCTGCTTATTGTGGTGCGGTTTTGTGTTGAGGCTAGGAGTTCGTCGAGGAACGTGTGACGATTCTCGGATTGTGATGGTTCTGTGGCTTTGGCAGATATCCTTTTCTCGACTAATTTGTTCGCAAAGTCTGTGATGGCATGTTAGCTTGATCAATAATCACTATTGAGCTGGGAATAGAACGACGACATACCTCGAATCAGCTTCGCAAACCGCTTCCTCTTTCCATCTGGCAACACGAACCCAAGAATCCCGTACTTCTTGAAGTTCTCACTCATATACGGATTCATACAGTACTCGAACGCCTCGACAAACGCGCTCGCGTCCTCGTCACACCCCCGCTCCTCCCGATCTAGCCATCCCGTACTCCTCCCAAACAAGAACTCACTAGCAACATCTAGCGTGAACTCAAAGAACAGCGGCTGTAAGTCCACCGTCGAGCCATCCATTGGCACAACCCTGATCAGGGAATTGACGTGTTTCGCCAGAAGCGACACATCAGCTACTTGACTCCGTTCAAAGCACGGCCGTAGCATCTCCCGCGAGTGCTTCCACGCCGCACCCTCGTTGGTGAAGATGGCATGTCCGAACAAAGACGTCATTTCCGATACGCGACCTCTGGGCATACCCCATGTCTGGAAGTTGGTGGCGAGCACGGCCTTGATGTTCTCTGGGTCGTCGGTGTGAAAGACCTTCATGGTAAGAGGGCCGCTGAGAAACGTGTGTGTGTTGTTACTGCGGAGCGTATTTGCCCAGTTTGAGAGTATTTTTTTGGTGCGGACGGCGCGTAGGTCGGACAAGACTTCTTTCAGGCCGAAACATGTTGTCCATATTGATATTCCTTTGGGTGGTTGGCAGGCGTGGTGGGACGAGAGTGCGCGACGGCGCGAGCCGGTTGTGACTTCCCAGTACACGCGTCGAGCAAGGAATAGACTGATCAGTGAGATGGTGATGTTGGTGTATGTGAATATTGCCATTGTTGGTTCGCTGTGGGATGATGAAACGAGATGTTGGCGTTGATATAGACGGCCCAAAGTGAGCATAAGGAACGAAGTTATAATTCTTCAGACTCAGAAATATGTTAAACAAAACTTCGATGTTGGACCTGTCGTTGACAATCGGGCGGTGTTTATCTTCTCCTTCAGGCTTGGCGTGAACAGGCAACCGTTTTTCGTCCCGACACATTACGTGAGAGACGCAACTGACTTACTTGGTTGACGAATAGCCTATTTGCTCAAGATTCTTACTGCATGAGGCATGATCGTGTATGGATTTTGTTTCTCCTGAGTTGTACTACTCTCACCCATGTGACGTCGGTGGTCGGAGGTGTGAATGTTCGTTGTCGGCAGACACATATCCGATCGGAGGTGCCTGAAGGTCAGCCTTGCTAGCTATGAAATATAGCAAGGTTTTGTTAGATTTTGCAAGGACAACATCGATTAAACAAGTGGACGCATGTTGTTCAGAGACTCAGTCAATCTTGATTTGACCATCAAGCGAATACGTGCTTTTCGACTCTCTTGAAAAGCTTTCCAATGAAAACCTTGCAGCGTTCGGCCATGAACGAGTGCTCTCAACATCACTTTTTGCGTGTGCCACCCGCAAATCAAAACGATAAGATGGGAAATCTAGTTGTTACTCTACTTAAATTCCTCTACAAAGCTAAGCCAACGATCAGCTAATGTGACTTCATCTCAATTTTACATCAGTATTGTGAAACACTCGATGGTTTACCCTGATGTATGTCGGCTTCATAGGGCAGATATCATTGTATGGGTAGAAGGCGAGACTGAAACTTTTCGAAAACAGAGAGTGCTGAGAGAGAAGATTGAGCATGTATAAACTGATGGGAGACTAGCAGATGCAAGTCAATTAACCTGAAACGAGAACAAAAGCTGATTAGGAAGTTAGATCTTGAAGTGGCAAAATAAATGAAAATCAATATCGATTCAAGCAAGTAAATAGAAACCGTCTTTTGTTTTGGGGCTTCCAATCTGCTCGATTCTTACAACGTGAAGATATATTTTCCGTCTTTGATTGCCTTCGCAACGTCTGCCCTAGGGACGACGTATTTTTGAACAGAGGGAATCTCTGCATCAATCAACATTGCAACCATGTTCCCGAAAACAACACTGCCTTCGTCGTTCAAATGCGTGAAATCATCTGCGTTCAAGTTGTACGTTGCCGCATTGGTCGCTCCGATCTTGTTCAGGTAGTTTGTGCTGGCAGTGTTCAGATCGATTATCGCCGCACCGCTCTTCGCAGCAGCATCTTTGGTAGCTGCGGTGACATCGGCCAAGCTCAGTGAGACTTGGTTGGTGCTGCTGCTGAATTTCCGTCGACTGAGGCTGGTAACCAAGATTGGGGTCGCGGGGATGGCGCGCACTTCCTTTACGAATGCGACCAAGTTCGCGGTGAACTCTGCCATGCTGATGTTCTTTGCTGGTTTCTGATCGTTGTGACCGAACTGGATAGTCACGTACGGCACGTACGATGGCACTGCTGCTTTGGCCGCTTTCAGGACATTGGCCCAATCCCCACCCTCACGGAAGGACACAGTCGTCGCGCCATTGTGCCCAAAGTTCTTGCCAGTCGCTCCGTTCTTCAACGTGGTGTTGAGAAAGCCAGATCCCCAGCCTGTTGGTCACTGTCAGTATTGTTGGCGCTGTCAATCTACAAGCAATATGTTCATACCACCACCCCCAGTTGATTGTACAGCTGTGGTCGAATCGCCGGCCAAGAAAAAAGCCGGAGGCTTCACGGCTGCCAATGTGAGGGCAGCCGAGTGCACAGCTAGGGATGACAGAACGGCCAAGAAAGAATATCCCGATTTCATCAGCATCTTGAGTGATATCGAGGACGAATGTGGATCAATGGTAAATCCTGAGTAGAACACAGACGAGTTTTGATGCTTAAAACAAATGAGGACTCATGTCGAGTTTTGTAGTACAGGTCAATCTAATCTAGATGCGAATGCACACCCATTAGGCTCTAGCACGGAAGTTTGCAGGACCTTCCAAGGAGCATTACTATGTTCCTGTAACAAATTGTCATACCCTAGCAGGAATAGGAGTGGACATCCTTGCTTGCTAGTATGGAGTCAATTTGGATGAGCGACTCAATGGACTGTAGCAATGAGATTTAAGGTCATTCCACCAATAGTTAGGGTGTTTCATACATGTACGGAAAAATTACCCCGCGGGGAAGGCCCTATTTTCCTTCCAGCAGATCATGCACATGATTCGGGGTCAATCTTCTGGAACTCTGATTTCGAAACAAGACCGGTACCCAGTTCAACTAGGGCTTGACCTCGAGTTATTTCCTTGCCATACGGTGTGACATATAGCTAAATCAAGCGACGTGATGAAACATTCGAGACACAGAAAATGACAAGCTATAAAGTAGATTTGGTGGAGATGAGAGCTGTGCATGAAGTACGAGGACATTGTCGAGACAAGCAGAGCGGAGACTGAAAGAAGTTATGGCGATGATCAGCAGACGCATATCGAAGCCCAGAAAGCCGTCATAACTATTAGCGAAAACCAAGACCTGGGGTACTGAAACAAAAGTCGAAGGACGTAGAGTCAACTTCAGCTATGCTCATGCAGCAGGAACGGAAGGCTGCGAATGTGTGAGATCATGGCCAGCCGGCTGGATGATCTGATCACGCAAGCTCGATTACATCATAAGCCCCACATATGCTGTGCGTGCGGGCCGTGTCGCACTAGCTAGGGGTTAAAGCAGCTACCATCGGAAACAGCGTTCATCGGAGGTACTAATGTGAACAGCAACGGCGGCCCTGCAGAATAACTTTCCAAAGGTAGAATTCCATCAAGAATAGCGATGAATCGTTGAGTGCTATCAATGTTAACTTCAGACTGAGGGCGCCGATACAGCGTGTTTCTGGGACAGCAGACGCGAAACAAAAGAGTATAGTAAGTTTAGGATGCTTTGGCGCAGAGGTAGAATGTGAGGGAAACTGGGAGGCGTACTGAGAAAGTAGGGAATACGCTAGAGATCGTGTCCTCACAAATTTGGATTCTTCAAGACTGTACAAAAACGCTATAGCGCGTCTGAGCGATACTCTATTCCAGAGAGTGTATATGTGCTTGAAAGAGTTTCTATTCAGGCATGATGAACCGCATTGTCATACCATTGAACCCATACATAGAGAAGATGGCGAAACCCATGACGCCGCTACTCTAAGCAAATTTTTCTTCATCCTTAACCCTCCATGCTTGATCCTCGACTCTCTCTACTTCTCTCAACGCTCTCTCTACGAGTTCCCTCGCCTCTTGATCTTCTATGTTCCTCCCATTCTCTAAACCTCTGACCCAAACCCCCCACCTCTCCTGATTGAACCCTACCCATCCCTTCCTCGGCTTGAGATATGCGTCACCCTCTTCGGCGGGATTAGTATTACTCGCCTTATGCCTGAAGTCGCGCTTCATCTGGACATTCGCCCAAAGTCGGTCGGCGGCGTAGATCATCCAGAGCGATGCTGCGCGTAGAAGAGTTCTATTGGGCGCACGGGGCTCGGCGGTGCCTTCGAACGCGTGGCGGAAGGATAAGAGGGCGTAGAGTGAGAAATCGAATGGCCCTGGGTGATTCTCTGGATCTGAGACGAGTTCCGCGGGGATAGAGGTGAGCTGCGCAAGGAAGGCAATTTTGTTGTAATATTGCGTCTCTTCTTCTGGGTCGGGGGAAGAATCGCCGGCGTCTGGTGATGTGTGGTTAGTTCATGAAGTGACAGTTGGCGAAGGGTGAGTCTTACCGAAATTCCACTCGTCCGCGACATTGATACCGAAGTTGGGAACCTCAGTCCAGAGCGTCTTGTTGTAGTCTTGGTCGAACCGGAGTTGATCGCCCGTGGTTGGGTCGGTGACCTTCTGCTGCTGTAGCGTTCGGACGAACTCGACCAGAGCGGTTTGTTGAGAAGGAGCGGTGTTTGCGACAACATCCTCCATCAAAGAACGCCAAGTGTTGTTTAGATGTGTGAACAGGGCATCGCTCACTGATACCGTGGTCGATGAAGCGGCAGCAGAAGTGAGATCGAGCAACTGCCGGACCGCGGTGTCGACTGAGGCGTCGGGCTGCATGAGAGAGGAAATGATCTGAAGTTCTTGAGGTTCTGCCATTTTGGTGTTCAGTGCTGTATCCTTTTGGCGTTGGATGAGGTTTTGCAACAATAAAACGAAGTGCAAAATCAAACCGTTGTGCTGCCAGTGGTAAGGCTTTTGACCAGGTGTGATTAGTCAGAGATTCTATTTCTCGGTTAGTGACATCACATAAATGGTTCTTGTTGATCGTATCGGCGTGTGACAAACGGAATGTCACGATTCTGGTTGCCTGAAGAAGGTACGACGGGGCGTAAATATCGGACGCAGGAGTCTTTGGCCAGTGACCATCTCCCAGTAAGCGTGTGTACGTAAAAAATCTGAATGTTTGACGCTGGGTCGTACCTGTCAGCTTGCCCGACGCGTGAGAGTGAGAGTTTGTGACGTCATATACAGTTCGGTCTTGTGTAATATTGAAAAGACATGTACCTTACCGACTATAACCGCACGATCGCGAGCATCTCAGTCCCTCGGATGTCACGAAGGACAACAATAGGAGTTTGTCAAGTGGGGGTGAATACTGACATCAATGCAATCTGACCGATGTAAGAGTCAGCCTGAAGCTCTAGGACTGGAAACGGATAAGCCGTTTACAGGATGCTTTTGCGTGTAACTTCCCAAGGCAAGGCAAACCTCGTGTAACGTTATACAGATGGTTCTGGATGTGCACATGTCAGCAACAAGTCAAGAGGTTATCAATTATACAGCTTTTTCAACACTGTACTCGAACTTGACTTCATATCTCTCTGATCAGCTGTGGGGCGGGTCTATTCCAATCTACGTGTGCTACCTCTTACGAGACAGCTACTCAGGGGCTGCATCTACCAACAGTTGAGGAGATCATCAATATCCTTGATTGTCATGCGTTGAGTGGATATACAAACACTTCAACAGACAACGCCTTGACCGGTATTTTGCCCCTAATATCACGGATCCCATGGTTATCCCACGCTTCGAAGCGTTGATCTTACGTCCTACAACCTAAGATCATCATGAAACAGGCCATAAGCTCGAACGACAATGACATTGTTGATGTGAACAGACGAACGCAGGGTAATACGGCATCAGGCGGAAAGTGGAGTCTTGATAGTGCCTCATACTCATCATATAAGCCCATTGCAATCACCTGGAATCATTTTTCCTTACCACCATCAACCACCAGTTCTATCCTGCCTTCCGGCCTTCTCAATTTCAATCCATTCAATATGATGTTCCTCAAGCCTGTGATTCTATTCGGCCTTGTTGCCAGTGTCTGCGCCACTCCTGTTCCGCAAGACTCCAGCACCGACCTCGCCAAGCGCCTCGCTGAGGTCGAGGAGAAAGTCAACAGCCTCGTAGCCAAGAAACAAGAGGTCGAGATCGACTTTACTCCTACTTACAACCTCCTCGAAACCCGAGCCACGATCAAGGACACCAAATGCCCCGACAACGGCAAGACGTACACTGCGAAGCAGATCTCTGACGCCGTAAAGGCGGAGAACGCCAAAGCAAATCCCGGCAAGTATGGAAACAATGAAGGTGGCAAGAAACTCTTCGACACCAATGATCAATTGTACAAGGCTAGCCTCGACAGTAAGCCTTTCCTATACTCCATGCCTTGGTCGTACTAATCAACTTCCTAGACGTCGCACGCGCGGTCTTCAGCCGTAAAGATGGCAAATATACTTACAGGGGTCTCATGGAGCACGACAAGGGTACCGGAGATGGCTTCCATAAATGTTAGAACTCAGCAAAGGACTGCTAGTACGTAAACCATCATGTATATACATGTGTCGACAATCAGCCAAAAGTATGTCTTGAGCAGCTGCAACAGTTTGGGACTTGGGTGCTTCTGGAATGGTACCTTTTGATAAATAGTTGCATGTATATCTTTACATGAAGCTAGGTGACATACTCTCTTTAAGGAGGAAATTGACATCGGGTACTCTACATAGCAACACAATGGTGAACAGATATTGGCTCAGCCTAAATGGTTTCCACAGTAGTTCCATCAAGTGCTATACATAGACTTTTGTTCTCAAAGGCCTCATTCTATTAGGCCTACACGCGATCTCTTCACAAAAGTGCTCTCTCTCGCAGCTGCTCTGTTTGACAAAAAACTCATTCGTGGTTGATCGAGCAAAGATTCTCGTCAGCACTGAAATCGTTGGTCGCGGAATTTAACCATCTAACTCCGCTCTTTTTTCCATCGAAACGCACAGCGCCTGCGTCAACAACTCAGCTCCACAGTGTCTGTGGTCAAGTGTCGCAGTTTCCGCAATATCAAATTTCGAGTGAGCATGTACGTTGTCGAAAGTCAACGAAGTCCACGGGAACATGGAGGAAGCACAGGGGTTTGGATTATCATGCAATCTGACAATACGATCAGACAGAATGGAAGATCAAAATTAGTTCCCATGATCAAATAACTTCTACCACTTAGTGTCCACCTCTGCCTCCGTCTGACTATGCCCAATCCGCTGGCCCTGATACATCAGCGCAAACTCAAGGGCCGTACCGATAACTTTCATCTCGATTTCGAAATCTATCCTCTTATAGAACCGCCCATCTGCTCCTTTGTGCGGTCTTATATTCGCCAGTTTAATGCCTTCGTCGGATTCAATTCGAAATCCGGGGCGGACAAGGGCTGTCTGCCGTGCCGGCGGGTCCTTTTCCTTGCATGTTTGTATCAAGACTCCAAGTGAGAAAAACTCACGATGCTCTTGGACCGGGACGTTCGCATGCCAGGGCATACGAACGGGCTTCGCATCAGAAATGTTGTCTCCCTTCAAATCATCAGCAACTGAACAGGTTGAATTGTCGGGACAATCCGCTTACTCTTTTCAGGTACCACCTGAGCTGGTTCCGTGCTTTGTCCCTGCCAGACACTTCGTCGCGATATTTGTCGCATGCTAGATGGATATCAGAGTCAAACATGGTGTGGTATCGAATACCGTAGCTACAGCGTGAAATCCGCGTGTGAACCACTGGACCAGGGATCAGGGAATTTGTTAGAGCCTTGAGTACTGCACCTCGGCAGATCGCGGTCCATCTGTTACAAGTCATTTACTTGTCCGTGGCACTTGGTTTGTTTTTGTCAATGCAGTACTTACGGTCTGTTTCCTGATGACTGATATACCTCAATACCGCGGTGTCGATTTTCAACGCGCAGAAGGTTAAACAAGTATCTGCAACTACCAAATCCACCTACGAGAACCACAGCCTGAATTCATCAGAATCGTCAAGACATTATGAATCTCGCCATCACGTACCTTTGGTGGCCGGCCAGTCTTTTCCTCAACAGCGCTAACCTGATCATTAACGAGTGATCGTACTTGCGAGACAACATCGTCGAAGATCTCCCGGACATGGCCACTACAATCAAATGATTAGCTGATACAATCTCTCATGCGCGGCAAACCCACCGGTCTAATGAGATGAAGGGTGGAGCCCCGCGTGTAACACAGTCATAAGGCAGTGTGATTTTCCAATTGCGGTCTTGGTCTTCGAATCCCCTTTTGATGCCGTTTTCCCATTGCGCGCTCATAACGCCTTTGATGACAGAGTCTGGTACATCCCAAGCTTCACCGACGAGTTGTTTCATGAATGCTTCGAAGTCTTGGTCGAGAAACACAGCACCGCACAGCTTCCCAGAGCCCTCAACACATTCGCTCAATCGCATGGGTTTAGTTTGGGATACCTGGTAGCTGATCAAATCCACTGTCCCGCCTCCAGCGTCGCAGACAACAAAAGTATCGCCTACTTGGAAATTCGGCCTAGCTTTGAGGTCGTCAAATGTCGCCAGCGCGGCAGCCTCTGGCTCAGAAACAAAATTGAGTGTGGTTTCGCCAGCGATTCTATGTTCAAGGATACCAGCGTCTTTTGCAGCTTCTCGCATCTTATTGACGGCTTGGGTTGTCCAGACCGCTGGCACAGTGCAGACGATTTGGAATGGCAATCCCTCTACAGTAGCTTCGCCAAAGGCCTTTTCGATATTGGAGACAGCGTGAGCCCACAAGAGACGGAGATAGTCGGTGACAGCCTGGACGGCTGTCTTGCCAGCCTTCCGTAGAAGCTCCTTGGCCTGCTTGATCTGTGGAGAATTCCTTTGTTTTGCGTCCATCTCTTCCTCATCAAGGAGGAGGAGTTTGAACCATTCTACTGCTTCTTTATCGCCAACATTGTAGCCCCACAAGATTTCATTCGATGACGATTGCTCGTATGAGATTCTGGTTGGAGCTTTGCCCTTGTCTGAGCTTTCGTATTCCGTGCAATCCCAATTGGTGATGATGTTGATGTCTTCGGGCTGTTTCGAATAGGCCCATGCGACACCAGAATATCTACAAGCAGTGAACAAGCTGCGACATAGTTGTGCCTAATCGTGCTTACGTTGTGCCGAAATCAATACCTATGAGAATTTGACCGATATCAGTCTCGGCATCGATCTCTTCGTCGTCGTATTTTTCTACCAGAGTGGGCGCGTAGCTGAAAGAAGGTAACGGTGGTGAAGGGCGAGGTCTGAGGTACTCCTTCTCAAGTGGAGCCCTTCTCTCTGGCAGGCGCTCTCTTTCTCGCACTGGCAGTCGCGCCGGAGTTTCATCCGCGAGATTCCATGAAGACTTCGGTTTTCGGGCGATGGCAAACTTTTTGAGCAATCCCATCACGTCAGTAGTGCCAGTACTTTGTGTGTGTCAAAGTTGGATGTATGTAGAGATAAGTGTGAAGTTGCACTGCAAGGCGCCCTGTTTGAGATGGACTGGCTGACTTTCCAATCTTCGAAAACCTATGCGCCCTCTGAGTCTGGATTGCTTGGTTTCAGCCTCGTGGTCTCCCAATTGGTATGGTCCTGCAGTGTAAGCGACAGTGCACTTCGTTCATTGGTCAGCCTTCCCATCGCAGTTCAGGCGGCCGACCAGCTGAGCAAAGATAAGCACTAAGCCTTATTAACTTGTGTATCAAACGAGCCGGCAGCTAATTTTGACCAATTAGGAGGATGGCCCGAATCGAACGAGTTCGAGGCGTAATGGTTCGGTTGCCTGCATACTGCGCGCGCAACAACCCCAGGCAAACTTGCTTTTCACTACTACCTTGCTCCGAAGGTGCAGCAAGGCTATCCAATTGTTGGCCCCCGATCAATCAGAGTCTCAATCCTATCATCAGCCACCAATGTAGGCTTGCAGATGATGGCTACTGGTGAAAGAGGGGTTGCGGTCCATTTCCGAGCCAAAGACCGAAGGATTCAGCTGCCTGGTGTGATTCGGATTCCTTCTTGTCAGTCAACGAACTCTACGCGTTCAAAGAACCACTCAGATTTGTCAAGATGATGGTTTCAAACGAAGATGCAAATCGTGGAATGATTTTGATCATGGGCTGTACAGGATCAGGAAAAAGCTACTTCATCAACAAACTGGCTGATAGCTCTGTGGTTGAGGGCCACGGGTTGCGATCAGGTAGGACTTGTGGTTACGTTACCTACAGTCAAGATACTAACCCTTGATGCAACAGAAACAAAAACCTGCGACGTGGTTCGAGTTGGTGTAGGACGACACGAAATCGCGGTCGTTGACACACCAGGCTTCGACGATACCTCACGCTCGGACGCCGAAATACTTGAAGGAATAGTCGAGTTTCTTTGCGCCCAGTACGAACTCGGAATACCCTTAAAGGGCATCATATACATGCATCGAATTACAGATGTAAGAATGTCGGGCTCTGCGCAGCGATACTTTGACATATTCCGGCGCGTTTGTGGGGAGCAAAATCTAAGCAATGTTGTCCTCTTGACAACGATGTGGAGCGAGCTCAAAGACGAGGGCAAGGGCTTACAGAGAGAGAGGGAACTACGAAGAGATTTCTGGAACGATATGGAGAGTCGAGGATCGACAATTCGCCGCTTTGATGGTAGCAGATCTATGGCAGAAGCTTTCGTCTGCAGACTAATGCGTAAGCAAGACATTGTTCTCGACATACAGGAGGAACTGGTCGACCAGGGCAAACGACTAGGCGACACAAAGGCTGGGCAACTAGTATTGCCCCAATTGGAACGCCAAATTGGAGACTTTGGACAAACCATACACAGCCTGGATCAGATGATCGATGATGCTAAACGCTATGACCCTATAGAAGTGAAGAGACTTGAAAAGCAACGGGCTATGCTTTTGAAAGAGCATCACAAGAGCATGAACCAGCATCAGAGACTACAGCAAAGAACAGGTCGTATAATGGTTGAGAAAATTGAAGGCGAGAAGAAAAGAAATAAGATGAAGGGCCGTCTTGCAATGTTTACTACACTGCTCGGGCTAGCGATCACTGCCACCGTCAATATCATACTTCCACTCGCAGGAGTGATTTCATTCTAAGATAGGAATCAATAGTGTCATAGTAATAATTCAAGCTTGATGCAGACGTTGAACTATCACTAATTTAGCAGTGATACTACAGCTACAGAAAGGTAAGCATTGACAGCATCATACAGAGCGGCCTTCGAAATTGGAAGCGGGGTCACATCATGCAGTCTATGCACGGTCTACGCTCTAGCCTAATGCCGATAACTCAAGCGGCTGAACTGGTGGCGTCGCCCATGTGCGGGCTGAAACCCCATATAAGCAGCCCACTGCCTTGCATACCAAAGTCTCACAACTTCCAGTTTTCTTTCCAGATGGCTACACTCAGAAAGACCACCTCTCCGCCAGGTAACGAAGTCAATGGTAAACCCGCTGCTTCTTTCAAGATACCTGGCATCAAAAGAAAAGGTTTCACTTCCAAAGCAAAAGGCGCTTTCATGAAAGCGGGCGGCCTGCTGGACCCTCCACCGAACATGCCGAATCAAGGATATACCCACGCAGTTGTCGCTGAGAATAAAGACACTGCCATGAGGGATCAGTTTATATCCTGTGCTGCAGAGAAACCTCCACTTCCGTTGAGAAAAGATACGGAAAGGTTGACACTCTCACCTTTCGACCCCTTTGGAAACAGTTCCCCGAAGGATCCAGACAAATATAGAAATGATGCTCTACGCCCGGTCTCAATTCCATTGGACGATGAAAAGCCTATATCACGCCCAACAGTAGCGCGTACGTTGACTCCGAAAAGCTGCACGGACAGTATCGAGCCTGAGAAGGCTAGAATTGTGGATAAACCTCTACCGACTTCGAATACAGAAGATCGCAGCGTAACCATTTCACTGGATGAAAAGGACAATTATCTCGATGTCATCAAGGAGTGTCAAGAAACAGTTCGTCTGATGACCGAAAAGTTAGAAGAAAGCACGAGGACAATCGAGAAACAAGAGATTCAGCTCCGCGACGCAGCCGATCGTGAACATCAAAATTTGTCGAGGATTGCTGAAGTTGAGAAAGCTTGGAAAAAGTCGACAATCGCGCTGAGTCGACAACAGCCTCTATCAAACCACAAAGTCGACGACGAGACGTTGAGCAGACTGTACGAGGAAATTGTCTTCGACATCAGCAATTGGGCGATGAATTATGCTACCAGCGATCCCATTCTGCTCAATGAATCTGTTGTACGACTTCTCAAGCCATTGGCTCCAGATCCGAATGCATATCTGCGGATGAAGAGACTGCGACAACTCCTCTTGCAGAGCTTGGTTATGAGGATCATAGTCAAAAATGTACTCAGCTTCAACAACGACGTGGGTCTTTGGTGGGCAGGGCGTCTCAGTCCAAGTTTGCGCCTCCTCCAGAATGAGCTGGAACCTCGTGAGTAGCCTACTGCAACCAAAGTACATGATTTAATAGTATCTAGATAAGAGTCATCTCATTCCCGAGAATCTGAAAAAGGGATCACTTCGACCAAACGAAGTGCGAGAGTACAGCATATGGAAGTCCAAAAGCGCACTACTCGTCGCGGATTCTGTCGATAAATCTGCCGTATACTCCAATATTGACAGGTTCGTCGCAAGTATAAAGGTGGATCTGCGCCCTTTCGTACTTCACTGGAAAACAGATGTCTGGAAAGACTTAAGAGAAATCATTGAGAAGGCTGTCACATTGGACGAGGAAATGAACAAATCAAGAGCGCTTTTCACTGTTCACTACTGGTCAGAAAAAGAGATCGCAAGCATGAAGTTCGATGAATCCTTTATGGAGTCGGCTGTGGGCCTAGAGCCTGCACGTACAGGAATGGCTGTGGAGCTTGTCTTGGCTCCAGCATTGACGAAGACTGGAAATGCGGATGGTGACACGTTTGAGACTATCTCGTGTCTATCCAAATGGAAGGTTGTGTGTATAGAAAGTCGGAAGAGATTATAGGATCTGTTGTATCGCGTTAGCAGAACCTCAGTTAACGATCACAAGCAGCTGCTTCTCAGATTCCGGGTAACGTACTTGCGAATGCCTACGTGAGGACTTGCTCGTACGATCAAATCACGGGTCTAGCCTGTGTTTATGAGATAACCTTACCGGTATCGATAGACACACATCTAATCCAAGATTCTGCCGGGATTGTGAGAGTTATGCAACAAGCTCCTCGGTACTCAAATTGAGTGAGTTTAGGTGAATTTTGATCATGTTAGGATGTGCCAACCATACTCTCAATATACAGAGGATAGAGCCTTCGCTATTTCCAAAGTCACGGTGTTATAGCACTGGCGCTGGAAGTTTCAGAATCCAGCATAGTTACCTAGCCATTTCAGAATTCTAATCAACCATAGTGATCAGCAATCAACTTTTGTCATATGGCCGATAACCGGGTATGCTCAACCGGGAAAGGCTCTTTCCCCGCGGACGTGGTCGGTATAATCTGCTAACATCGGCAAGCCGAGCCGCGCCGCGCACCGGCATGGATCCCGCTTCCCCTCCTTTCACACCCACTCACTCCATAGAGCTGCACCACAATAGGGTACAAACTCACAGATAGGCTGGCTTGATACCTGGTCGCTTGATAAGATAGTTTGCTTATCGCACGGTCTTGGGATCATGGCTGCTGTCTCGTCCACTTCTCTACCCACAGCACCCCGATCAAGTCATCGACATCGATACACAATGCTTCCTTCGAAAGATGACAGCAATCTACGCGTGAATAACTCGCTAGTCGAATCACACGATTACGACAGAAACGACAATATTAGTCACAGGGCAAGTGAGGATGAGGGGTTGCCGTGGAAGAATCAAGCAGTTTTGGATTTGAAGTCCTGGCATCATCGCGAGAGGCAAGTGCCTCTTTCTGTTTGTATGTACATAGAGAAGTTGCGTGTTAATCTCGCTCAGTTACACTGGGGCTCTACTCATCAACATCTTCGCTTTCGTTCTGCCTGCCCTTTACGGCACGCTTTCCAAGCTATGGGTCGCCAACATAGATTCGTCCATGGTCGTCACAACAGATACATACACTTATATTGGTGTGGTCGCTGAAGTACTGAATGAAGGTCTGCCACGCGCATCCTACCTCCTCATCGGCGACAAGTCCAATCGCACCTTCCGTGAACGTGTTCAGCTCACCCACACGCTCATTATCTTCCAATCGATCCTGGGTATGGCCATGAGCATCGGATTCGTTGCCGGCGCCTCGACGTTTGCAAAAGGATTTATACCAGTCGAGGTCAGAGACGTGAGTGTGACTTATGTTCGCATTTCTGCCTTCTCTGCATTCAGTTCAGCAGTTGAGTATGCGGTCAACACTTCGACACGTGCGTTGGACAAACCAGATGTACCACTCATCATCAGTTCAGTCAAGTTTGCTATCAACATCATCCTCGATCTGATCTTGATCTCAAAGTTCCATGTCAGCAGTATCACTCCCACTGTCAACATGCAGGCCGGTATCTCCTTAGCCTGTAACCTGACCTCCGCTTTTGCAGGCCTTGCGTACTTCATCTACACAACCACGTTCAGTTCCAAGTCTCCAATCCATAACGACATGACTGATCAAAAGGTCAAGCCTACCTTCGCAGCTTTGCTATCGTTCTTCCGACCTGGCATCATCTTCTTCACTGAGTCAGCTATTCGCAATGCACTCTACCTCTGGCTCATACACGGCATCGTAGGCTTAGGCAGCGATTATGCGACTGCGTGGGGTGTTTTCTCGACCATTCGCTGGGGGTTGATCATGGTACCTGTAATGGCGCTCGAAGCCACAACACTGACCTTCGTTGGCCATTCGTGGGGACAATTTCGCGCAGTACAAGCATCCAGCACACAATCGGACAGACCGAAAGTAACAGCGCGGCAAATCTGGAGTATTATCCGCTGGGCTGGTTACTCGGTTACCATCGTGTTGATCGTAGAAGTGCCGATGTGCCTCATCATGTCCTTCGTGGGTGTCAAACCATTCGCGCGATATCTCTCTGGCTCGGAAGAGGTATCGCGTATTGCAGCGCGTATGTGGCGCACTATCGATTGGTGCTACATCCTCTATGGCGTATCGACGCAACTCGCAGCTATTCTGGTCTCCACGCGTCCCAAGTGGTATCTGTATCAATCTCTCGCCTCAAATCTGCTGTATGTGCTGCCTTGGGCGATCGTCTGCCAGGGAGCTCATTTGAACATTGGCGATGCTTGGACATATCACAGTCTAGTGTTTGGCGGTAGCCTGGTATTTTCGTTTTTCGCGATCATGGCAATTGTCGGGGTGTGGGCAATCAGGCTGAGCCAGGGGAAGATGCGGGTTAGAAGAATTGCATGAGGCCATCAACCAGTCAACCGAAAAGAAATATCAGGGCTGCAACCTTGACTGCTAAGCAGTGATTCAGAATGCAGGTGGTAGTGGATTTCACTTGGGCTGGCGGGGCATTTGTCGATAGTGAATATGCTGATGCGTTGACCACGTCACACATCTCTTGCTCGCTAAACTTTAACTGTTCGAAAAAGTGTTTTCGGTTGTTTAAATCACTCTCTACATAAGTTGACTGTGTCTCACTCTAGTCTGGTTTAGACCAACATCTCCCTTTCTCTTTCATTTTATAGATCATGGCTTCCCAGCAAAACCATGACAACAACACGGCCTCCTCGTCAGCGGAGGCCCAGCGAAGAGAAGAAGACTGGAGCCTCTTCCAAACCAGGTTTGACACTGCCGAAAGCGAGATTAGAAGATGTGACTCAAGACTAGACACATGGGTCGCCAACCTATCCCCCGTCGATGATCAACTCGAACATACAAACAGTGTGACGATTGCTCACAACAGATTTCGAGTAGCCAAATCACTCTTCCAATCTGCACACAGGTTTATGGAAGCTGTTCGGATTGCGAACAATTGGGATCGTACGGTTCGATCGCCTCGATCGCCTTTTGGATTTCCGGAGGGGCTGGTTCGTAATCCGACGTTTCGGGATGGTAGACTGGATATGCAGGGCGTAGACTTTGGCTCGCCTTGGGGTCATCTTGTCGCAGCGAGGTCTTATGCTAGGGCTGTAATCGTTATGTTCTATGAGTTTCTTGCGATGTCGTACCAGGAGTTAAATGATTAGCAAAGATCTTTGTATCGTCATATGTCAAAGGTAGGGGTTGATCACATTGTGTGTGTGCACTTGAGCATGAGAAAATCCAGTCAACATTCCCTATCAAGCGAAATAGCGGAGATGTAGTCGGTTTCTATCTACCTAAAGGTACAACAACGGGTCGAGTCATCTTACTCACGACAGAGCAGCATTGAGAGCAAACATGAAGAAAACGTTTGGGTGTGAAACACAAGGTTATGATACGCATCAACTACTGACCACCGCTCCATAGATATACACCTGCCCATAACCTCAAACGCGGTCATGCAAACCGTTCGCTAGGATCCTGCTGTCATATCCACACGTGTCCAACGTCCACGCCTTCTCATTATCGACGAGGATGGCACTTCCTGGGACTGCATACCCAAAACTTGCCATTCTATGTTTGCGATTGTCGCCACGCCTCTGTCTCTAGCTGACCAAAGATACTCCATCAGAGTCTCTGGTTCCGAACACCAGAAAACCAAGGTGTGTGGACTTCCGCCATCTTGCTTCAAACGATCTGCTTCTGCCTCTGTCCAAATCATGATGTTACTCATCTCTGCCACGGTCTTCTCGGCTTGCTCGATCATTTCCTCCTTATCTTTGATGATGTGTACTGGTAAAGGTTGACTTTCATCACTGGGAAGCCTGTCGATCTTAATCCTGACGCGACCTTCGTGAATGGTCCAACCTAGCTCTTCGATCACGTTGGTGATGATCGTGCAAATATGCTCATAGTCTCCCCAGGCCTTTCTTAACTCAAATGACAGAATGGAGTGGACTGATTTCATGACGATCGGATTCTGTGCTTGAGTGTGGTTTTGCTGCTTGTGTTCTGAGTTGATTAGCCGGCTGGGTCTTCTTGTATAGCGTACCGGGTGAGACATTTGCATCTAGCGTTGAGGGTTTCTCGAGTAAAGGTTAAGTCAAGTTTCAATACAATCGGCAATGGAGATTTTGTTGTTTCATTTTTCACAATGTTCAATGCGACTACGCTCATTGTCTTTGTCACACGTGGGCTGTGGTGAATATCTTGATCTGTCAGACAGGCCTTTGTGAAGCCGAAACATACATCGCAACGTGATGCCTGGACTGTCTCTGTTATTGTACTCGTCGAGCGCAACGTTCCAAACCTGACACGCTCGTTGAACAATATATCTCGGAAATCAGGATTGATGTTTATGTACATTTCACCTATGTCGTACCTAGCCGTGTATACGTTCAAGCCAGTAACGTCAGACTCCAAACCCCGATTTCAGCATCTCAGGAACAAGTGTAGCTGCGTCGCCCTGGAAATACCAGTCCTGCTCTTCTAGTCCGAGCAGGCTCGGATCCTCTTTCTCAATATCAACCACGGCAACACGCGCACCTTTGCGTCGAGCAGCTTCTACGTACGCGGTTGCAGGGTATACAAGAGCACTAGTACCGATCACGAGCATAGTGTCTATTGTCTTTGGATGATCGCAGGGATCATCAATCCACGCCGACAAGAATGCGAGCAGTGGCCGTGATATTGACTCTGTAAACCACACAATTCCCGGGCGAAGTAAGCCATCACAGCCCAAATTCAGACAACGCGGTATAGCATTCCTTGTTAGTGGGATAGAAAAGTCATGCTGAAGCAAAGACCAGATAGCTTGCTCCGCGTCGACTCCCGAAATTGCGAGTGTGCATTCTGTGCATTTCAAGTCAAAGACGGATCCATGGAGATGGTGTAGTCGATCCTCTGGATGCCCAGCTTTCTCACTCAAATCATCTATGTTCATAGTGATAGCCTGAAATCCATTTGTTCTCTTTGCGAATTCTGCGAGTGCATAATGAGCAGCGTTCGGCCTGGCATCTGTGATCAGTTGCCTTCTCTCGAGTTCAAATGCCCACACGAGCGCAGGATTTTCCTCGAAGCCTCCTGGCGTGCAAATCTGTCTGACATCATGCGTGCACCAGATACCACCAGGACCTCGATACGTGGGGATGCCGGATGGTGCCGATAATCCAGCTCCTAAGAGAGCCAGGACTCTATGGGATGTGACTAGATGGTCTCGGAAGATTTCTAGAGAGCGGGATGCGCGAGGTCTCAGGAACCCAGTTGCGGATACGACTGCAGAGTAGTCTGGAGTAGAATCAGAAGACATCGATATTGTGACAAGGACGCGATGCAAACGCGACGTGATGGTAGAGTTTGGCGCGGCGCCTTTGCTATGTGGAGAACCTGGCCCCACTTCCCTAGTTTTCTAGCCCCGATTCGTAACACGACTCTTTGACGTGCCCTGAGCTCCAAAAATCAGTCCTTGTCTACTCTAGATTCTATGTCGCCTGCTCCGCTATTCCTGACCCTGCCCGGCGAGGTGCGAAACCTCATTGTCGAATATGCGTTCGTCCAGGATCTCAGCGCGTCACCCCTACCTGTGTCACGATCACCATTGGCTCTATCGCTCGTCTCTCGTCAGCTATTTCATGAATACCACACTGTCGCATTGTCTGCAACAGTCTTCACTATTCGCTGTCGGCGACTGAGCGAGCTTCCGATCGTGATCAATAAGATGCCGCCAATGGTCCGTTCCCATCTGAAGAAGCTGTTATTGTCCGGCAAGTTCAATCTCTCCGCTTCACAACGCCTAGGGGGCTTTCAGGGTATCGATCTAAGCGACGCGGGTCTGACTGGTGTACGAGAATTACACTTCAGTCCGTCGACAGATACGATAAGGCGAGATCACCCATGTTTAAACCCACGTATTCTGGGACAGGTAATTTGGAGGACAGTCGTTGGCAACGCATGCTTGGAAACGATTTGCGTGGTTCACAAGAAGAGTAGATCTTACCCTATCGAGGCCCTTTCCCAATTGATGGAGATGGAACAACTTCGGTGTGCCTCAGATAACTGGACTGTCTTGGTCAACAGTTCCCAGGATACATCACGAAGTTCAATGGATTTCGACGAAAATTCGGGGTATAGATGTGATAGAATCATTTTGAGGCACAAACCGGAGGGCAGACAGGTCATAATCGCGTTTAGGCAGGACGCCGCCAAGAAAGACATCTCGTCTCGAGTGCGTGAGAAGTTGCTGGGAAGTAAGTTTTTTGGATGATATCGAGAAACAACTACGGAAAACATTAACGATGACCAGTAGAAGACGCACGTTGAATAAATGGGCAGTTGGCGTGTGTTGCACAATGCGCCAACCCTTCAAATTGCGGTTCGTCAAATGTCCTCGTATCCTGCTCAGTTTCTGGTTCTGATTCGGCTCCGTCGAGGGCTCAGTAGAAAAACGTGTAAGGACAACCCCTATCAATAGTTACCGTAACTGCTCGATCAAGTGTCACCTGAAGGTGCAGTGATCACAAGTAGTGGAGAATCAATCGCGTTACTTGGTTCACTCAGTCCATCCATCGACGTGGACGTAATGGCGACCTAATCATCGACAATATTCAACAGATCCGCGTACTATATTGCCGTACTTTGAAACCAAAAGGCTAGAGTGGCAATGAGCTGCTAAGTCCCCTTCGTTTTCTCTAGAGAAGCTCTTTCTATCGTGAACAGAATCGGTGCGTTTGTCTCGATGCAAATCTCGTCGGCCTTGACATGATTGCTTGTACTGACTTGACCACCCATCCGCGTATCCCATTCTTTGACATCCCACTCCAAGCCAGTTGTACTGATGGTTGCTGGGCCGTATACCGGGATTATCCCAATATTCTCGGTGAAAAGCCCACTTGACAAAAGTCCCCGAATGACATTCTGCCCACTTCTAAGAATGAAAGAGACACTAGATTCAGAGAAGAGCCATAACCGTAGGTTCTCATACTTCGCCTCTTCTCGTATCATCTCATTTAGGAGTCCAAGGCCTTGATCAACCCTCCCAGCTAAGGTTCCGAGAATAAGAACATCTCTTTGCATAGTGGAAGGAGTTTGGGATGATATCTTCTGCATCGTCTTGCCGAAATCGGTACTATATTGGTCGGGATCTTTTGACACCAATACACCTTTTGCAGTATAGTAGGCACGCACATCATCTCTCAGCGAATCGAGATCACCGTGTATGAGATTCGGTAGCTAGAAACGGTTAGTCGCAAGCAGGGAAACATGCTTGGCACTATTCCTTACGTATCTGCTTCTCTGTATCTCTAGATCACTCTTGAACATATCGTATAGCCGGTTGGCACCGCCATCTGCGCATATTCGATATTCTGTATGACTCCAAAGACGCGCGAAAGCAGAGAAGTGTGCTATTGGTTGGTTCAAAATGAGCAGATCTGGTCGATCTGCACGCCTATTTGCGTCGTCCCCTCCTACTAGATAAGCTCCCGGAGCGAAGGTTTTGGTATTGGGTGCAGTCATTGCTGATACTTCGATTGAAGAAAGGCTGGTGATGACGCAAGAGGAGCGGCAGGTGCGATGCAAGTCTAGACGCGCTAGCTTAGCGCGACTTCCGTACTTCCAGCCTCTCACATTATCCATTCCTAAACCCCTCTATATCCACCACGATACATGCCACTTAAATCCCCCGAATAGCATGGTTTGGTGTCGGCTATAACGAAATCTCGCTCTTCTGAACCTAGACTTGCTTGGCTTGTTTTGGACGATGCCCGATATACATCCCCGGACTCGTTCCCAGCGCGTCGGTGGTGACAGGGTCACAGAATTGGATTTCCTGAGACGCATCGCAAACGAAGCAGCCCGTGGGCCAAATTCGATAGCTAGTAGTACTCGTGGCCGACCCGCTCATCACCCATGACGATTTCTATGTCCTAGCTTGTCTTCTTGGAGTTCTTATGTATGGCACTGAGAAGATAGCCATACATATGGGATTTTCTTGAGGGGTCTGACGGGGCCCGGTCATGCCATGGTAAGAAGTTTGATCAACCGCGCCATGTACCTGCAGCAACTGCACCTTAGCATGCTAGTCAGGTTATACATGGATACAACAAAGACAGAAACGATCATGAACCGTCGAGTCTACCACACAAGATTCAAGGACGAGTCTACACAACTGAGACCAAAGCACAGGCGGCCCACTAGGACTTGTATTCGAGTGGGGGTGAATAAGTAAAGTTCAGACGCCATTACCAAACTAAGATCTAGCTCAGATCCTTACTGTGCATTGACGCCAGTTCGAATGTATCTATCACAACTTCTATTCGATCTGTCACGTACCGACTCTCACGTGTCTTGTTATCAGGTTTGTTGGGATGTTGTTAACGGACAAGTATAGATACCTTCATGCTCAAGATGTATACACAAAGACATCAAGTGCGAACCGAGGTCAACACGCCGCTCGTCCGATAATAGCTGCCGCACAATCCCAAGCCAGCCGTCCACATCGTTTAATGTGAACCTATCTACTGGCACCGCACCATTATCGACTGTATAGGATTGGCAAAACTTTCTGTCAATCGCCAATTCAAATCCGTCTTTGAAGACAGGTATTTTGTGGCTCTACACATACGACGGAGCATCCATAGCTGATGGTGCACCACTCTGGGAGGATGTTCACGTGCCACGTACTGCGATTCACCAGAACGTAATACGATGAGAGACACATGACGGTATAGGTTCGCCAAATTCAGTATTTTGGTAGGGGTTCGTGCATGCGGCGTGCAAGGGTGAGAGCTACGATTATGTTTGTGTACCGAACTGCTGACTATGTCCTAGTCAAAAACTCCGAACTTCTCGACCACGAAAGGAACGACTGAGTCATTTTTCATCACTAAAAGACTTCACAAAAACCTAAAACACTTAATCATTTGTCTGCACAACCTCTACCGCCACGTAGGCTACCTTAATTGTCAGGGTCACGATATTCTAAAAGTGAGCTGGAATTAGACGATGATTCGACGATTGAAACCAAAACCAAATTCAAATCATTCAAAATGTTGTGGATGAAATGAGTTTATTCGGAGTTTTGTGCGACACTCGGGGAATCGCCCATGAATCTCACTATGACGTCGTGCACGGTAGTGACCAATCGCGCAAGGCCGGACTTGGAGTTCCTCAAACTCATGGTGCAGGAGTAAGTGGAGATCGTTGGGAATACTACGGTATCTAGCAACGTCGTGGTTCCTCTACCTTTACCAAGTTTGAGGAAAAGATGAGTCTGGCTTGCGAACAGTCTGGATGTCCTCCGTGGTTAGAGTACCGCATTTCTGCGATTGTTCAACAGTGCGGTCAAATTATCGATGTACAAATACAGCGACAATGCCGCAACGACAAAGAGCAATGCCGACAAGCATTCGGTGGCGTCTCGAACAGCGCTTTTGTCGCCGCCTCGTCAACCAAGCATCAGTGGCGTTCTTCTTCAAAGCTTTTTCTGCCCACGACAGGTGCTTGTCCTGCCGCTAAGACACCTTAATGGGGATAAGCTGTGCTAGCGGCATGCCACAATGCGACCATCACATCCCCGTCAACCCCATGATCTTCTCGCGACCCCGCACTGTGTGCGTGTCAGCCAGTCAGATGTAGCGGATTGTTTGATACGGATGCTGTGACTATAGGTTAGCGTATGTGCTGCATCTGTTGAGCGGTCTGGAGGGTGGAACGAAAACGAGCGGTTAAAACGGGGGGAATTCCCTCTTCTTTATGCGGCAGGCACTGCATTCTTGTCCCCACGTAGGATCCAGCTTATCGCTCTTATCTATGAGTTGATTGCTTTTTATCCCAACAAGCATTTTGGAGCTTCAGGAATAAACCCTCATCTTGTCGTTTACTCGCAACGGTCTGGAGACGTCGAGTGTATCCCGTCATGGCGGACGCAAAGGCATATACCGGGCGTCGCGAGTATGTCCAACCCGAGCCTAAGATGACAGCCGGCCGGTACATCGCCACACGTATATCGACTCTCAAGCCTCCGATGGCCAAAGTCGCCAATCCCATCGCGCTGCTCCGACTGCTGAATTTCCAGCAATGGATGTTCTTCCTAGTCGCATTCTGCGCATGGACATGGGATGCGTTCGACTTCTTCACTGTTTCACTGACGGTCGAGGACCTCGCCGAGACCTTCGGCAAGACGAAGAAAGACATCACATGGGGCATCACTCTCGTGCTGATGTTGAGAAGTGTAGGCAGTATCACGTTCGGACTTGCAGCAGATAGGTTTGGGCGAAAATGGCCGTTCGTTATCAACAACTTGCTGTTCATCGTCTTGGAATTGGGTACTGGATTTTGCACAACGTATAACCAGTTCCTGGGTGTAAGAGCCATGTTTGGTATTGCGATGGGCGGGCTGTACGGCAATGCTGCTGCTACTGGTAAGTCTTCCTTATTGCTTCACCCGTACATGTCGGCTAACATCACCTAGCTCTCGAAGATTGCCCTGAAGCTGCTCGCGGTATCATCTCCGGCATGCTCCAGCAAGGCTACGCATTCGGCTACCTCCTCGCCACTGTATTCGCCCGCGCGTTCGTCAACACTGTCGGTCACGGCTGGCGCCCGCTGTTCTGGTTCGGCGCAGGACCTCCCGTACTGATCATAATCTTCCGTCTCTGCCTGCCAGAAACACAGGCATACCAGGAGCGCAAGCGTCTCCGTGAAGAAGAGCCCAACGCAGCCAAGCTCTTCGTCGAAGAAGGCAAAGTCGCACTGAAGAAGCACTGGATGCTATTGGTATACATGGTACTTCTTATGGCTGGCTTCAACTTCATGTCCCACGGCAGCCAGGACTTGTACCCTACGATGCTTAGCAACCAGTACAACTTCTCTGCCAACCAAGTCACCATCACGCAAGTTGTCGCGAACTTGGGCGCCATGACCGGCGGTACGCTCGTTGGGTACAGTTCGTCTATCCTAGGCCGTCGCTTCTGCATCATCGTCATGTGCATCATCGGCGGCGCACTACTGTACCCCTACACCTTCACATCCTCCAACGCCGTCATCGCCGCAGCATTCTTCCAGCAATTCTGCGTCCAGGGTGCATGGGGCGTCATCCCCATCCACCTCATGGAGCTTTCTCCCGGATCGTTCCGCACATTCGTCGTCGGCACGAGTTACCAGCTCGGCAACCTCGTTTCCTCCGCGTCGTCTACGATCGAGACGACTATTGGCGAGAAGTTCCCGCTGCCGCCCAAGGGCAAGGTTACGCGCTACAAGTATGGCTTGGTTATCTGCATCTTCATGGGATGTGTGTATGCCTATGTCATTTTGTTGACGCTCATTGGACCTGAGTATCGTGGGAGGAACTTCGATGCTGAGGCTGATGCGGATTTGGCTGCTGCTAAGGGGGAGAGGAAGGATGTTGGGCGACAGGACAGTGACTATGAAGACAAAAGCAAGGCTATGGACATGGGGCATGTCTAGGTGTAAAGAGTCAAGCTATGTAGTATTCGGATAGTGTAGATCGGCATAGTACTTGTTGTAGTCAGTAGTTGTAGAAGTACAATGAGGAGCGGATGATAGTTTCAGGTCACAAAACACTTTCTTCCATGTGATCCCAGTCTATGCAAACTCTATTATAATCCGTAGCACGCCCCGTTCATGACTATTACTTCTGTTAGGCCAGGAGCTTACACAATTTGAGATTCTGCATGAGTTTATTACTTGCCAAACAATGAACATAATACAAGAACGTCTTTCAATTTCGACCGAGACTGTAATTAATCTCTTTGTTTTAGATATCTAAACGATGCGGCAGGCGATATAGTCAGCTCGTAATACAGCGCGTTTCCGGTACCACTAGCTATCAATGTGAGAAAGACACACTGCATCCACTTTTCCATCGTTGATTTACGCATATATAGATATGAACCGATATGCTCTCCCACTATGGTAAAACTGTTTTGAAGCCTGTCGATCGATTCCTTTAAATTAGGTATGGTATGGCTGCGATACAACCCTGGCCAAAGAGAACCAAGGTATGAAGGACTACCTCTCCTTCGCCGACCGACACCTCACTGGATCATATCCATCTACTCAGCAGCGCTTCTCCTCAGCTCTCCAATGACAACGCACCCCCTCCTCTCCTTCTTCTTCGTCTCCTTCTCTTTCTCAGCACCTCGTTCCCTCTCTCCATGGATTTTCTTCTGCGACTCTCCATTCATTTTCGTCCTATTCTCCCCGTCTCTCCACCGAACCTCCTTCCCATCCTGCTCCAACCCCTTCAAATGTTGGAATTTTTCTTCCGCCATCTCTCCACCCCTACCTGTTGGCACTAACCCCTTCTCCGTGGGTACAAAGCCGAGTTTTCTCCAGCGCAGATACTCGTCCACTCCGCCCCATGCGTCTAACCCTCCATAGCCATGGTGACGCTTCATTGTGCGAAGAGCGTCTTCTTGCTGGGCATTGTACAGCGGACGAGCAGATCGGTCGGTTGTTCCGTAAGGGGTGGGGGTGTTGTAGCGGTGAGTTTGTATATTTGTTTGAGTGGAGCGAGCCGGAGCTTGAACGACACGATGCGTGGGGTCGATATGGGAATGCATGGCAGCTGTTGAGAAGCAGAAGGGCAGGGGTTGTGTGAGTTTGCTTTTCTAGACATGCGCGGAGATGGTAGGTGTTCGACGACAATGTATGTCTCGCGGTTAAACGTAGTGACTAGGCTATCATGTTTCGACTGGCGATGTGCGCTGATAGTGAAGTCAACTATACCGACTTTTTGGTGCTGGGTAGTCTGGAAGACGAGGGATAATCGAAATGGAATGAGCCTTCGACAGAGTATGGCGAAAGCGTCGAATGAATCTTAGCTCGAGTATCCTTCCAGACGAGGCGCGTAGAAGGCTCGAAAAGTTGGTGTACACCATCGAGAGTTACCAACGATATCGCATATTGTGAACGCCCGATCGATTGTCAAACTCCCCTCGATTGGTTTTGGTGTAAAAATTCCAAACGCGAGGTCGAACGTGCGGCTGATGTCGTACGTTTACCGCATCCTGCCTACGCCCATGATCTTCTCCTCCACTTTGTTCCGCAACATATCCTTCTCTTTGACTGCCTGCAGCCTCTCTGTCTCAAGTTCTTCCAACTGTCCCTCAAGTTGCTTCATACGTGCTATCTGCTCTTCCTCGCTAGTGTTTGCGCCGGGCAAGTTTGCTATCAGGTATTCAATCTGCTGTTGTTTGAGGACCATGTCTCTCGCAAACTCTTTGATGGTGCTCTGGAACTCTTCTTGGGTGAGGAGGATGGGAGGTGCCTGTGTAAGCTGTGAGGGTTCTGTGGAAGTCTGCGTTGCTTGGTTCTCGGCGGCGGTTTTGGCTTCTCGTTCGTTGAAGGAGTCGACCTCTGGCTGGCCTGGAGGTATGCTGGGTGGGGCTTTGTCTTTTATGTATGTGAAGTGACTTTGCATCATGAAGAGTAGCTGTACGTTATTAGCGCCAATTGTCAACACCATGCTTGGTGATGTTCTAGTTACCATGTCCATCTCATCCTGAACCTGGGTGAGGATGTCGGCCATGGGTACGGTTGTGGCTGGGGGGCGACGACGTCGAAGAAACTACAGTGCAGGGTAATCCAACTATTTCAGGTCTATCAAGTGGGTCCAAATGGATTGTGGCGAGGATCGCGGAAGTTAGATTGTCGAGCTTTGGAGGTGGATGCGATAAGTACAACCTGCCAGGGTCCCTCGGTAAAGCTAAGCTAGCGTGAGTCAGTCTTGGCACTCAAAAGTTACGCGAAAGCCTCACGTCTCTTGCTCCCACATGCAGCACTCGCTCGCTCGCCGTGCTCTGCCATAGATTGTTCTTTGCAAATATGTTGTGGTTCCGTCTCTTATTCTTCTGACCTCACAATGCAACCTCTCCTCCGCCCGACGTGGCTCAAACAAAAATCGCTCCTTCCGTGGCTCCCCCGAACCACGCCGCAAAACTTCGTCCCGCTCCGAATCGCAACCACGTCCGTCAGAAATGCTGCGCCCGTAGACGTGCCCAAGATTGTCATAACAGCAGGCTCTCAAAAACATAATTCATTGCCCTCGTTCCTTAAATATGCGAGGCGTACACGCCTCCCACCCTTATCCACCGTCTTTGTGGGCACTCATTATGAGTATGTGTCAGCGCTGGCTCTGCAGCGTCTAGGGTTTTCTCTTCTACGAGTCGGGCGCAGATTTGATGCTGGCATCGATCTCATTGGTCATTGGGTGTTGGCGCCGCTGCGAGAACCTCTGCCGGTAATTATCCAATGCAAGGTACGACAACTTACAGCCTCCCCCATGCACATCCGCGAGCTGGAGGGATCCTTCCAGGGAGTACCTCCTATCTGGCGGAACAAAGCGGTGCTTGGCTTGCTGGTCACAACCAAAAAGGCGACCAAGGGCGTATTGGAAGCCATGGGGAAGAGTCATTGGCCTATGGGTTTCTTGTTGATCTCGCAGGAAGGGACCATTCAACAATTCTTATGGAATCGTGCAGCATCAGAAAGAGGACTCGAAGGGGTGAGCGTGACTGTCCGACATACACCGCGGGCGCATCTGCCCGAGTTTGGACGATCGAATGCAGGAGACGGAGGTGCGGGGAAGAAGGAAAGAACAAAACCTGCTGCTCGTTTCCAGAATTCAGGCACAGAGAAAGACATCCAACTGACATGGATGGGCTCTCCCATTTTTCCCGACAGAGGAGATGTGCTCGATCGAGAGACAGTCAAATTGATGGGCGACGTCGTCAACGAGACCACGGCATACGTTGGTAAGGAGAGAAAGAAGATGCCAGCACTTTCGACCAAGGAGCTCAAGGCGGCTGGCATCGTCGCGAGCGCACAAATCCTGGAGCCAAAGGATGACATGAGAGGCCGGCCCCCAACATTGCATATGGAACCCGATCCCCGCGGTGGTGAAGTTGATCCGAGGCTGTTGTGTATGAAACCCCCTCCTCGCGATGTTGGGCCGAAGAAACCCCCTTCTCGCGATGTTGGGCCGAAGAAACGAGGCCGTCCGCCCGGCTCAGTCAACGAACCCCGTATCGTAAAGACGAGGCGCGGCCGTCCTCCAGGGGCTCTGAACAAAATCCCCGCTCGTGGGAGAAAACGAGCCACAAAGACCGATGTTGTTGATAAGGTTGACTCAGGCTGAAGATGGAGACGTAGTTCCCATCCACCATCTACATTCATGCTCATTCCCACGCAAGGCTAGATATCGACCACGACTTCACCGTCGTCTACTACGCCCCATCGCCATCGCAAAACGGCAAAGCTAGCATGCGCAGAACTGACCTCCCGCTATCAACCCCATCCCTAAACAACAACTGACCAACATCCACCCTGCAACCATGTCCCAAGCCTAGGACCATGGCCACACACTTGCCTCCCGCTATGCTGCTCACTATCTCGCCTACCACTCAGACAATCCCGCCTTTGCTCTAGTCCCGCAGTATGCATAGCCGCGCCAGAGCAGCTTGTGGGAGAAACCTGCCACTAGGAACGAGTGAGTTCACGCATATCATGCGGGGATAGTGCGTATGTCAAAAGGGAAAATGTTGCGGGGGAACCATCAACGTGGGGAACTGGTGGAGTGGAGGGGAGGTGCGAGATCAGACCCGCCCGTCACGAACTTGTCAATGCATATCCCGACACATTCAACAACATGCACAGTACATGTGTACAAACGTTGCGAAAGAAAAGTCCAGTAGTAACATGCCATCTCCATACATACATACACACACAAATTCATACAAGAATACACACAGCACCGCATAAGCCCAAAGTGACGAAAAAAAACATTCAGTAATACACCTCCCTTACACACCCTCCATTCACTGTCATCCCTCCCTAATAATCAAACCGATCGGGCAGGACAAGCGGCGCAACAAGACTCCACCCATAAATCGCATAGCAGACCCACGCGCTGATAATCTTCGCCCAACTCGCCCAATACGTGCGACCGACAGGGACAAAGTCATTCTGCACCGTCTCGTCAAAGTTGCTCGTAAGCAGGGTAGCGACCCAAGTCGTGCTGAGGAAGAAGATGATGTGGAAGAGCGTGTAGTTGTACTGTGTTGCGTTTCGTTCGTCGTCGCGTGGGGCTTTGGAGGAGGGGGAATCGTCGTCTTCGTCGTCGGAGTCTGAGTCGTCGAGGGCGGAGGCGGGGAGGGAGCCGGATTCGACGGCGGCGCGGAGGGCGGCTTGGCGCATTTCGCGGCGGGATTCGGGTTGTTGGGAGACGAGGCCGTGCTCGTAGTCGTCGGTGCTGACTTGGGCGTAGCCGTTGCCGTAGGAGTTGCCCTGGGCGCCGAGCGCGAAGCCGTAGGTTGCGGCGCGGGTCGTGGTGTAGGCGACGGTGATGAAGGTGACGATTGCGCCGATGATGATGGTGGCTTTGCGGGTGCCGCGGGCGCGGATGAGGGGGTTGCATTGGTGGTCGTCGGGTTCCATGCCTACAGCTGAGAGGGTCAGGTAGGTGCAGTAGATGGCGACGATGGCGGATTGGGCGAGACCGGCGCGGGGGTTGACGCTCTGGACGGCTGGGTGGATGGAGATGACTGATGTCACGAGCAGGAACATGAGGTTGATCTAGAAATGTTAGCAAGGTTCACAGCGCATAGTTTGAGTTACCAACCGTGATGGCTGCCTGGTTCATGCCGCACCCGCTCTTGGCAAAGTAGATGTACATGACGACGGTCATGGCGATGGAAGCCAGGTACATGGACAGGGCAGAACCGACAAGCAGTCCAGTCCAGACGCGCGACTCGGACGTCTCGATCTTCTCCTGGCAGTATTCGGCCCAATTATGCGCCAAGTCAACCAGCAAAATGAGTCCAATTAGCAGGAAGAGGCAGGCGCCGATCATGGCGATGTACTGGCCCCAGACGAGGAAGAACGAGTTGGGGATGAAGAAGGTGAGGACGATCATCAGGATCCAGCCCAAGACCTTTGGCGCCCAGAAGCCGTTCTGGATAGGCGCGCGCCCGTCCTTGGAAGACCGCACGCCGATGAGCATGAGGGCCATGATGACGTGGAAGAAGCCGAGGGCGAAGTTTATGCGCTGCACAGCGACGTATCCGTAGCACAGTTCGCCATGGCACTTGATGTCGACGTAGTCCAGGGTCAGGTGGGCGAGCTTCTTCATGGCCCAGTCGGTGAGCATGATCCATGAGATGATCGAGTTGACGAGAAGGAGGAGCGCGTAGGCGATACGGGTGGCGATGCTTCGAGGCCGTCAGTATGTGCTGCATGCGACTGTCGCTTTACAGAGCCGTACCTGTTGCCGCATTTCCCTCCACACGAGCCCAGAACGGCGCTGCATGTTGCTGCTCCACAGCAGGAGGCGGCCATGCTCCATACCTGGTCCGTGTCAGCGCGCGCATCCCCATATAACAGATACACATACCGTGCCCATGGCGGGCATGGCCAGGAAGGGGATGGACAGTAATGCGCCCATGTTGGTGGTGTGGTGTAGGGGTGTGGTGTGGTTCAAAGAAGGCGGAGGCGGAGGCGTCGAACTTCACGCGCTGTGACGATGTCGCGGATCCTGCCGCCTTGGCCACCTTATCTCCGACCACATGTCACTCAACGTCGCACTTTCACTCGCTCACTTGGACTCGGTTCAGACAATCTTTTGACCTTGGATCGCTCTTTCGCTTCTCTTCTTGCTTCTTTTCGTCTGATACGTTTCGCGCTGGCCCAGACGTCCATTCATCCTCTCAATCAACCTCCCTCGGCTTCAGAACTACCGCAATCGCTTTCGTCTTGTATACGCGTTATCTTGCATGCATGATTTCGTAACACCCAAAACACCACCCTGATAGACCACAATGGTCGCGGAAGAAATTGTCCTCCACAAGAAGACGCGTATTGTGTCCGTCGTCGCCGCGACTATCATTGCGCTCGCCTGCGGGACGAATGTGTGTTTCAAGTCCAGATTGTATGACGAATACTAACATCTCCAGTACGCATACGGAGCATGGGCACCGCAGTTCGCCGATAAGCTCCAGCTGTCCGCGACGGAAAGCAATGTTGTTGTACGATCGACCCTCTACCCTCGCATAAACACCTTCTCATCGTCAACAGGGCACAGCAGCGAACTTGGGCATGTATGCCGCAGGTATCCCTGTAGGCTTCATTACGGATAAGAAGAGTCCACGTTTGTCGACTCTCATAGGCGCGTTTGCGCTGCTAGGCGGCTACTATCCCATCAAATTGGGTATGCTTCATGAAATGATTGTAGAAACCAGCACTGACTTCTGTCAGCATACGATGGGGGTCCTGGATATATGAACTTGTCGATGATATCCTTCTGTTCTTTTATGAGCGGTGTGGGAAGTTGTGCTGCGTTCCAGGGCGCTTTGAAAACAGGTAATTCCAAGTCTTCACTATCTCACTGTCTATACTGATACTGTCAGCAACCCTCAACTGGCCAACACACCGCGGCACGGCAACAGCCTTTCCTCTGGCAGCATTCGGACTCAGCGCATTCTTCTTCACACTTGTATCAGGCGTAGCGTTTCCCGGTGATACTTCTGGCATGCTTCTCATGCTTTCTCTAGCAACTTCGCTTCTCGTCGTAATCTCCATACCCTTCCTTATTGTCGTAGACCGCCAGAGCACCACCTATTCAGCCCTCCCAACCACCGAGCGTCCTCGACGGGACTCCAATGTCCTCCACCGCACAAAATCTGGAGGAAGCAAACACAGCACGCGTGTTCTTCCAACCCAAGAAATCAGTACGTCTCATGTTTCCTTACTACCCCTGCATACCCTTGTCAGCTGCCAACTACTTCCAGCAGACGACGAAGAACAAGGTCGTGCCTCTGATGAATGCTCCTCCCTTCTCTCCGGGCCCGGAGATGTCGACGACGACGACGCCACATGTAAGAAGTCCGCTCACTCACATCGTCCAGATATAACGGGACTGGCGCTGCTCTACAAGCCCGAGTTCTGGCAGCTATGGGTCCTGATGGCGCTGCTCACCGGTGTGGGTTTGATGACTATAAAGTGCGTTTACCCACCCACCAACAACCTACCAAAGACACTAACGAGCACAGTAACATCGGCCACGACGTCCAAGCCCTCTGGAACTACTGGGACAAATCCGCAACCCCAGACTTCGTCGCCCACCGCCAACTCTGGCACGTCTCCATCCTCTCCATCTGCTCCTTCTTCGGCCGTCTCTTCTCCGGCATCGGCTCAGACATCATCGTCAAGCGCCTCGGCCACTCGCGCTTCTGGTGCGCCGCCATCTCCGCCACCGTCTTCGCCCTCGCCCAACTATGCGCCATCCGTATCGCAGACCCGCACTTCCTATGGGCCGTCTCCGGTCTATCGGGCTTCGCGTACGGCGCGCTATTCGGCGTCCTGCCCGCCCTCGTCGTCGACGCGTTCGGCCCCGACGGCTTCTCAGTGAACTGGGGCTTCATGACGCTCGCGCCTGTTATCAGCGGGAACGTGTTCAATCTTTTCTACGGCGCGGCGTTTGACGCGCATTCGGTTGTTGGGCGGGATGGGATGCGGAATTGTGAGGTGGGGATTGAGTGCTATCGTACGGCGTATTATGTTACGCTTGTGTCTAGTTTGTTGGGCGTATTGGCGTGCTTTTGGGGGATTTGGGGCGAGCATGCTAGGAAGAGGAGGGAGGTGGAGGAGTATGAGAGGCATAGGGATGCTTGATTTGTTTTCTATTGGGGAGGTTTGCTGGGTTGGATATAGAAGGGCGATAAATCTAGACTAGGGTTTGGCGTGTGTTTTCGTATACCCTCGCGCTACATACATTAGAACTAGGTATTTGCAATTTAGTATATATACACCTTAGCTAAACTAGATCACAACCTCCTACTAGAGTATCAGTGAAAACCCGGTTATCTGAATATATTTACCGTTTAGCTATAGGCCTGTTCTTAATATGTAACTGCCTTTCACTCGTGCCCTGGTAAGTTGGTCGATTAGTTGGTTGCTCCTTTATGAGATGTTGGTCACGAGACTACGCGTTGGCCCGAAACAACGTGCTAGACTTTCAGCCACAGCGCTAACCTCGCTCCAAATGTGCCTTGGGGATATTGTGAGGCTGCTAGGCGTGATTGTAAAGATATTCACAACCCATGAATTTAAGACCCGGAACTGAAGTTGTTGTCTTAACAAGCAAAGTCCCCACTAGAGCATGTTACAGACTAGATAGGCACGTGATCTAAGGTATAGATGGTATAAGCTAAGGAGCTATCTAGTGCTCCAGCTAAGATTATAAGAATCCTAGATAACTAACATACACAGACTATAATATTGCCTAGGGCTTATCCTAACCTATCTATAATTATTAGGCTATAAGCTATTGCCTTAGTTTCTTTAGGAAAAATAAAGGAAAAATTAAAACGCTAGCTATCTGTTCCTTTAAGAGCAAGATTTATATATCCTAATTACTCTCTCTAGTTCTACTTCTATCTCTTAGTTCTAAACCTATCTATAAATTAAGAAGGCATATTATCTAGCAGTAATATTACTAATATTAGGGCAATTATTTCTAGTAGTATTGTATATAATAGCCTTATACTATTTTACAGTAGGTAAGAGGTAAGGCTTATCTAAGGCTTATTTAGAGCGTATAGTAAAATAATATATTAGTCTTTAATATACTTAAGAAAGATGTAGATAACCTTATATTATTTTATAGTAGAAAAGAGGTAAAGCTTATCTAGGGCTCTTTTAGGGCGTATAGTAAATAATATATTAGTCTTTAATATACTTAAGAAAGATATAGTTCCTATAAGGATAATTTACTAAAAGTAGTAAAACTAGAAAAGTAAGGTATTAGCCTATACTAATATACGCTAAAAAATACGCTTCTTATAAAGGCTAGAGTACTATAAAAGATAGATATATTTATTAGAAATAAAGAAAGTAAAGTAAATATAGTTATAATATATCTTTACTCTAATATAAGTATAGAGTTATTCTAGAATAAATATTATATTAAAATAAGGTAATTACTATAAAGTTACGTCTTTAGTTAACGTAGGTAATTACAGTATTTAGTATAGAGTTTTATATTATAGTTCTATTATCTTTCTTCTTACTTTGTTAACGTAGCAGTTCTCTAGCTTTAGGGTTTACTAAGGTCTAGGATTATTTACTTATTAAGTATAGGAGGTTTAGGGTTATCTAGTTTATTATTTCCCTAAAGTAAAAATATATATTAAGAGAGTTAGTTTCTAAGAACCCTTAAGTAATATATCCTAGCTCCTAAAGTAGTACAAGATTACTAGTTATAATTAAGTCTTTTATATCTTTACTATTATTATCTACTATAGAGTTAGTAAGGCTGTTAGTAATTACCTAGCTTTTAGTATCTTTCTTAGTATTACTAATTAAGCTGTCTCCTTCTTCTATAGCTAGGTTAAAAGACTCTAGTTAATATTTAAGCTTATTCTTTACTTAGGAGTATTTAGAAGGTAGAGCTAGGTTAGTATTATTATTTATACTAGTATTTATAGATTTTTACTTCTAATAAGGCGCTTTCTTTTTAGTACTCTTCTTATTAGTTTTAATAAGAAGTTACTTAACTATTACCTTTACTACTATAACTATTAGGTTAGTAAACTTTCTAGCCTTTATCTTTAAGTTAGCAATTTCCTTAAACTTTATACCTAGGATAAGATTATTTAAAATAGTGTCTAGGCTAATATAGATAATATCTTTAAAGTTAATAATTTACTAAGATCTATCCTTATCCTTTACCTTAGAGATATAAGTATCTGCTACCTAAATAAATTAGCCCTTAGTATTAATTTTAATATTATTAGATATATAGCAAAGAATTATCTTCTTTAGAAGGCTAAAATTCTATATAATATTATTATATTTAATCTTTTTTTTATAGGTCTTAGTCCTGCTAGTATTACAGAGGAGGTATAATATAAAAGTAAAGTAGAGATAGGTAATAAAGCCTACTCCCTATCTATATATATATATAGACTTATATTACTAGAAAGAGGCTATAGAGTTATACTTAGAGCTAGTAGATATAGTTACTAAGACTAAAACTATATAGTTACTTCTAATAGTTTTTAATCCTCTAGTCTACTTACTACTTACCTTAGCGTAATAAAGTACGTAGGAAATATTAGTATATTTACTTAGGCTAGAGTACTTATTCTTTATCTTCTTAGATATAGGTAGGTCCTCCTAGGTTATAGTAGTCTTCTTAGTAATTACCCTTACTAAGGTACTAGTATTACCTATAGAGGTAAATAGTATAATAAACTTTATTAAGGGACTAGTAAGTTTACTTCCTAAGAGTTCTAGGTATAGTTTCTTTATAGAATATTTTAATTATTAGGCTATAGGTTTATAGTCCTCTAGAATTACTATAGTAGATATACTAAAAGAACTTAGAAATTAATTATTATAGCTAAGTAGTTTAGTATTATAATATTTATATTACTTACTCCTTATAATTACCTTAGTAATTAGAAAGGCCTCTTTATAGTTTTAAGACTATACTAAGACGTTCTAGGGTTAAAAGTTATATTATATAACATTTATTCTAGCGTTATTACTTAGATTATAAATAGCTTACTAAAGGTTTATTATATATACTTTAACTAATTCTATAAATACTATAATATACTATAGTTTTTACAGTAACTTATCTTTCTTATTATATTATTCTTAGTTAAAGGTCTCTGTATTATTTATAAAAATATTTTCTAAGACCTATCTTAAAGTACCTACTATATCCTATAAGTACTATAGGTAAGGTTCTAAAGCGTTCCTATTAATTAAGTTCTTAGGACAGGTTTCCTCTATTAAAGGTTTTAGTACAATCTCCTTTATAGACTTATATACCTTTAAGGTACTAGAGGCTTAGAGTAACACTAGAGTATTAGAGTAGTTTAATATTATTAATAAGCTATTAGATTTAGAAAGTTATAGTTACGTTTTAAGGCTATAGTAGCGTAGTATAGGCTTTAATAATAAGCTTACTATAATCTTAGGTCTATTTATAATCTAATTATTAAGAAGGTAAGGTATAAGAGTAATAGATAAAAACTATAGTAGGTAGCTTAAATATATATATTAATTCTAGATTATAGGTAAGAGAGTAAGTAATAGTTAACAAAATAGGTAAGAGAGCTAAGGCTTAGATACTATACTAGTAGGCCTAGCTTCTATCTATTATTAGCTATTATTCTCTTACTTAAAACAAAGTATTACTAGAAAGTAACTATTATTATAATATTTAGTGTTATAGTAGTAAGTATAATTATATTACCTACTATCTGTATAGTACTAAAATAGTATATAATCTAAAGTACTAAGATTATTACTTAGTTACCTAGAGTATTAGTGCCTAAAAATCTAAAAGTTAAGAATATATTTATTTATAAGCTAAGGGAGGTTCCCCTTCTATAATTTCTTCTTAGTAGTATAAGTTAGGGTACGTCTAAGGTATAAATATATTAATATCTTTATATATATTTAATAACTAAATATAAATATCTCCTAAGTTACCTATATATATAGGAGGTTAGTCTTTAGAAGGCTGTCTAGCCTTCTAGGATAGTATAGGCCTCCTTATAGATTTCCTTAGTAGGAGATCTATTAGATTTAATATATAATTCTAATATTCTCCTATAGCCTTATCTATAGACTTACTATTCCTTAGTATAAGTAATATTATATTCTAGTAATACTCTAGTAGTTATTTAGTGCTCTGTTAGGAGATAAAGTCTAAATTAGAGTTATTATTAGCCTAGTTAGCAATTATATCTAGCTAATTAGAAATAATAGGTAGTTATATTTTATTATAATTGTGTTATTTTAGGCAAGGACCCTACGTACGTCTATCTACTACCTATATTCTAGTAAGGTAGAAGCAGATCCTCTACTAGAGGCATAGATCCTAGATTATAAGTAGATATATATTATTAAACTTATCTCTTATTTCTTTTATAGATTATATATTAATAGCTATAACCTATTTATTATATAAGTAGGGTTTATTCTACTATTTAATAAAGTAATTAACTACGCTAGTATCTTAATTAATACAGCGTTTAATAATATAGTTAAAGGCTTAGAAATATAGTAGTTTACCCTTACTAAGAACCTTAAATTATTATAGTAGAAAATTATAGCTATATAGGTTAGTGCCTTATAGCATAGGTTTAAGTTAGTAGACTATAATAACGTTATATATTCTTATCCTAGCAGGGACCTTAATATAGTATACGTTCCTTTTAATTTTTTCTAAGATTATTACTAGGCCCTCTTACTAGTAACTTAGCTTCTTATTTAGGTAGCCCTCTAATTTATAGCTATTATAGAGTTAAAGAAGTGCTTAATTACTAGGCTTAAATTAGACTAGGAGCTTATATTTTACTTTATAGAACTTTATACAAAGCTTTACAAAAGCTACTACTTCCTTAACCTAGTCCTAAATCTAGAGGTAGAGTAATATATATTCTTTATAAGTAAGGTTATTATATTCTTAAAGTAAGTTAAGACTGTAGTATAGGATAAAACTATATATATACTTAAATAGAGCTACGCTAGTAGAAGTATTAGCGCTGTAATTAAGTATAAATTAGATATATAGTAATATATTAGTCTAGTCTATATCTAGATATTTAGTAATAAAGAAACGTAGAGCTATTTTAACTATTTAATTTATTTATTTACTTTAGCTATCTGCTTCTAGATACTAGGCTGCAGTACTAAAAAATATTTCTCTAAACACTTTAGTTATTACTGTAAAAACCCCTTACAAAAAATACTTATCCTAGTCTAAAATTAGTCCTTACTAAAGTCTCTA